TCATTTGTGATAGCTTTACCCCATCAAGAACGTGTTTCTGATGCAAAAAGTGAGCTCAATTTAAGCTGGAAAATCAATTTTTCAAAAATCTCTAAAATTTTAAAGGAAAAGCTGCATTCATTACGAGTATTTTCTTGGAGTCAATTTGTAAATAATAGAAGAAAATCTTCTTGAATTGGTGGATTTGTTTTTAAGAAATTCCAGCCAAAGTTTTTCCCAGAACTTTCTTTCCAACCTAATACAAACCTACATAAACCGAAGGCCGCTTGGCTCTCGTCCAGAAAATCTCTCGTCTTAAAAGCTTATAACAATAACAATAACAATAACAATAACAATAACAATAACAATAACAATAACAATAACAATAACAATAACAATAACAATAACAATAACAATAACAATAACAATAACTCAAAAATCAAAAGTCTTATCGCAAAAGTCACCAAGAAACTTTCCAGTACCTGCATACTTATCTCAACACGTGGATAACGCTAAAATTGCCCACATTGCGTGCCCTGGCCTCGTTCTATGCCAACGTCGAGCAAGCGTTTTGGCCATTTCGACTGTTTATTATGTTCCAAGGAGCCGCCTTTCATATCCAGAATTTGGCTCAGATCTTGCTGCATTTGAATCGATTCACGAGTGTCTTCTTGCCGATTCATCATCATACAGTTGGTCAGGCCAAAAATCATTGTCAAAAATAATTGTCAATCTAACCAGGGAACCCCTTAAAGTTAGATTTCAGGAGCGATTTGATTCTGAGGTGTAAACATCCCCTGGTTAAGGCCAAAACTGCTTTCAAATCCTACTTATCATAAGCCGTTTTCGAGATATAATCCTTTAAATTTTCAGCCAGTTTCGCCAATAGCAAGCTAGCCTTTTTAAAGCCTTTGCGCCAACCCGTCGGCTTGTTTTGGTAGTCTAGTTGATGGTGTGCTAGCGCCGCGCACCTCCTTTCCCTGGTTCGAATCCTGGCAAAACTTTTTATGCTTTCTGAGGCCTTGCGGGAAAGGTTTCCCGCGGGGAATTTGCAACGGGAAAACGTTTCCCCCGTATTATCACCGATCAACTCAAATTTATCAAATGAATTAAGAACATTAAGAATAATGAATTAAGAAAAAAAGAATAATTAGCAAAAAAAAAACAGGATAGAGAAAATAACCAACTTAACCAGCTTGTGGCGAAAATTACCAACTTATATCCAGACTCAAAGTGAAAGAATCCATCAACAGAAAGCCTAATTCACCTTCCCCACGAAAGTTTTTCCCGTCTTACCACTTTTCCCGGGGCAAAGTTTCCCACAAGGTGTTAATACGGTTGAGTGAAAACTCCAGGAAAATTTTCCCGAGAGAAACGTTGTGTGGGAAATCTCCCACGGCCTTTGATTAAGGGCATCCTAATCCTAATCCTAATCCTTCCAAATCCTAATCCATTTTCCTATCATAAGCCATTTTCGAGATATAAGCCCTCAAAATTTCGACCAATTTTGCTAAACAACAAGCCAAACAACAAGCAACAAGCAACAACAAGCCAACAACAGCAACAAGCTAGCTTAAGGTGTTGCCGCGGCAAATTCCGTGTAGCTTAGTGGATAGTGTGTTAGCGTGTCGCTTTGTTTTGTCGGTCGGTTTGTCCCCGTTTCAAATCCAATGTCGAGCAGATATAAAGAGGTTTTTAGAACACTAGAAAATTACTTTTTTTAATCAGTAATCTCTTAAATAATATTAGTTTGATGTCAAAAAAGTTCAGGCTTTTGAATAATTGACCTTAACCAAGGGATGCTTGCACTTCGGAATCAGATCGCTTTTGAAATGTTCTGCGACCACTTTAAGGGGTTCCCTGGTAAGCAAAAACTTTCAAGAAATTCTAAAAAACAGTTTGTAGTTTGTAGTTTGCAAAGTTGCGCTCAAAACCTTCTTATTTCTGTGAGTTAAGAGGTAAACGTCGAAGTTCATAACTTCGTAACTAACTTGTTCATAACTTGTCTCCGGGAAAAGGTAATCGCCTTCAAAGCTTTGTTTTCATCACAAAAATCACAATAGAAGCTGTCAAATTCAGCTGATATCCAATGTCTACAACTTTTCGAGCTCCTTTTCAGCTTTGGAGCCCTCGAAACATCAACATAGCCTTTTTCCTTGCATATCTCATCGGAATTCTCTTATCATATCAATACTTTTTCCTCAATGGCAGCATTTTTATCCAAGTTGGCGCCACTACAGTCCAAGGAGGAGCCCTCTTAAATGTACGGTATTTTACAAATCAACAAAATCTATGTGTGCTCTATACCGTAAATGCTTTAATAGGGCCCGTACAGTCTCGTAGTCTAAATCGTTTTTTTCAAACGCCTCGTTCTCGACGCTGCTGTGAGCTACAATATGCGTTTGAGTATCAAAAGATAGCCCTGAATTAGGAGAATTTTTTGATAATAAAAGCTTTCCGCTAAAACATCTGAGAGAGCAGAAACAAGCGATTAAAGTTAGTGACTACGCGACTTTACATCAATATCAAAGCATTTACGGTATCTGATTTTCTAGCAATATGCAATTTCGGCATTCATCGTCAAAATCATGAGCTATGTCTATCCGCCGATCTCACTTGGCCTAAATATCCTCATCTTCGCCAAAATGTTCCTGCTGAGGCGCCGGAAAAAGAGGTGCATTCTATCTCAATACTTGGTATTACGCTGGTTGGAGGTGGGGCACTTTTTTCTTCAAAACCACTTTTTCTAGGGCATTTTTATGCGTAGATCCCAAAAAACACAACAAGAACTTTGGAAAAAGCGTTTTAAGCCGAGTTTCGAGGCTTTAAAGTGCGCGGTTCTATCGTGTACTTGACTCGATGGAGCCCGGGACTTTTTACGGTCAATACTAGAGCCAAAACCATTTTAACCATTAAATAGCAAATTTTCTAACATAAATTGATTGGTAGAGGTAAAAGAAATTGCAAAAATATTTTTCAAGTTTCTGATCGATTTTGACCACATGGTCGAAATTTTTGGAAAATTTTGTATTATTTTGCTTTAATTTGATCAGAAACGTAATTGGTAAGTTAAATTATACCAAAAGAAGTGTTTTTCGCTTCAAAAAATTTTTTTAGAGACCATTTTTAGATCTCTTCTCTTTGTGTATCCCTCACTGTATGAGCGCGCACTTTAAAGCCTCGAAACTCGGCTTAAAACGCTTTTTCCAAAGTTCTTGTTGTGTTTTTTGGAATCTACGCATAAAACTACCCTAGAAAAAGTGATTTTGAAGAAAAAAAGTGTCCCCGCCCTCAGCTACCTTAGTACCAAGTCCTGGGCTCCATCGAGTCAAATACACGATAGAACCGCGCACTTTGAAGCCTCGAAACTAGCTTTAAAACGCTTTTTCCAAAGTTCTTGTTATGTTTTTTGGAATCTACGCATAAAACTACCCTAGAAAAAGTGGTTTTAAAGAAAAAAAAAGGGCTATTCGACCGGCGTATTACCAATACTTTAAATGTAAGCATGAAAAACTGAAAATGGAAGATGTTTAACTAAAAAAATGACACACAGTAAACTTATTGAACACAAGAAAAGAAGAATTGTAGAGACTGAAGAAGAAATTGATTCTATTCAAATTCAAATTCAAATTCAAATTCAAATTCAAATTTTTATTTAAATTCGAACTTGTTAACATGTTAAAAGAATAAATCTGAATTTAAGCACTATCTTCAATCTCATTTTTGGCTCAGAATGCCAAGAAATCATCTGTCATTTACTCTTTTCCTTTCTAACTTTTCTAAAATAACAATTCAAGTGCCAAAGTCGATAGCCAAAGTCATTTCTGAAAGTCAAAGTCATTTCTAGAGACGATACGTGGAGTCGAGTCGAGCTGAATCTCTTCTTCATCGGTTTCTGCACGATGATCACCCAGCTTGGGCTGTTGCTGTTTCTCGTATGTAAAAGAACATAAGAAAATCAAATTTTCTTGTTTAGAATTTCGGTCTTCAGTTTGTTGACTTGACGATCATTTACTTTGCGGTTCGTTTAAGTCTTCGAAATCTAGACGATCTAGACTTTTGATCTAGACGTCAATAGGTGTCAACCGGAAAAGAACGTCATTCTTTTTCAAATCAACTTTTTGAAAGCTCCATTAAAAGCTTTTAAAAAGAATCAATGCGTGTTGTTCCGTATGACGTTCAAATGGAAATTTTCTAGAATTGGGCTTACCAAGGAACCCCTTGAAGTTAGATTTCAGTAGCGATCTGGTTCTGAGGTGTAAACATCCCCTGGTTAAGGGGATGTTTACTTTCACTTTCAAACTTCTTTCAAATCCCACTTACCATAAGCCGTTTTCGAGATATAAGGCTTCAAAGTTTCGACCAATTTTGCCAAACAACAAGCTAGCCTTCTTAAAGCCTTGCCGCCAATTCATCAGCTTGTTTTGGTAGTCTAGTTGATAGTGTGCTAGCGCCTCGCACCTTCTATCCCTGGCTCGAATCAGGGATAGAAGGTGCTAGCAAAACTTTTTTTGCTTTCTTATTAAGGTATAAAAACTGATTTTCAGGTGATTTGAAAGCAGTTTTGGGATGCGCTTAACCAGGGGAATCAGGTCGTTCCTGGAATCGGAGCGTTCCTGGACTCGGGTTGTTCCTCGACTCGGGTTGTTCCTGGACTCGGGTTGTTCCCGGAATCGGATCGTTCCTGGACCCGGGTTGTTCCTGGAATCGGATCGTTCCTGGAATCGGATCGTTCCTGGACTCGGGTTGTTCCCGGAATCGGATCGTTCCTGGAATCGGATCGTCCCTGGAATCGGATATTTTCCGGAATCGGATCTTTTCTGGAATCGGATCGTTTCTGGAATCGGATCGTTTCTGAAATGTAACTTCAAAGAGTTCCCTGGTTAGCTGGCTTGTCGTACTAAAAGCATCAATCGAAGATTTCAGATGAATTTAGCCTCGGATTTGTCAACCCTAAGCGAGGCCTACATCGGGCTGGCCATCAACCAACAAATAAGGAGAAAATTCATTGAGATGTTTCACAAAATGATCGACATGAAATCGATGTCGCAACGCATCGATATCACTCCAAGACCTCGATAAAGATTTTTGAGTTACTTTGCTTGTATTTAGTGTCAGGGTATGAAAATTGCTTTTCTTTGCACAAACTTTGAGTGAGTCATCGAAATGTGAGCGGCTTTTTATGCAACAGTTGCTATAAAAGTCAGTGAAACTCATTCAGGCAATTTCTTCGGATAGATTTTTATGAGAAACACGTTTTCACGTGAACGAAAAGATTTTCTGAAAAGCTTATTCTGCTTATTGTGCTTTCAGTTAATCAAACATAACCAAAGACTGTTTAATTTCACTTTTACATACCATTGATTTACATTTATTCAATCCCAAAACGATAAAAACACAAAGAAGCCGATGAAATTCAAAATTTGAAAACAAATCTGCAAAAAGAAATGGCGCCAACGAATCGCTTCTTTGATTTGTTGAATAAATGATTTAACTTTGAAAAGAGTAATACAAAACATTGATTTTAATGAAAGTGATCATCAAGACGTTCATCAGGAAACCAAAAAAAACCGCCGAGATTGCCGATGAATGAGTTACTGGAAAGAGGAACTAAATTTGGATAAATTTGAACTTGCTTAAATATAGAAAATTTTAAGAAGCATACCGTTTTAACATTTTAACATTTAAAAAAAACATTTTAAGAAACAATTGAATCATTTGTTATTTGGAGGGATCTACAGGGTGCGCCATAATTGTCACAACAAGATAAAGTTCTGATTTTAAGGCAGATAAGAGCAAAAAAAAACAAATTTTTAACTGGATAACATCTATTGTACATTAACAATTATAAATGAACTATCAAATTCGAATCGGCCACCATTAGCATTTGAGCAGGCTCGCAGGCGTTTGGGGAAGGCGTCAACGGTGGCGATCACGACCACCAAATAGGCTGGATTGAGCTCTTCCCACGCTTTCAACAGTGATTTCTTCGAGCTTTTGATGTTTCGTGAGGCTTTGAACAAGCTTTGGCTTCTAGAACACACTGAAAAATCTATTGGGTTGAAGTCTGGAGAGCTACGTTTGGGGAAGGCGTCAACGGTCAATAGCGAGCATTGGCCCACCAAATAGGCTGGATTGAGCTCTTCCCACGCTTTCAACAGTGATATAACCAAAGACTGCATAATTTCACTTTTACATACCATTTATTCAATCCCAAAACGATAAAAACACGATAAATCCGATCACATTCAAAATTTGAAAAGAAATCTGTAATAAGAAATGCCGCTGACAAATCGTTTCTTTGATTTGCTGGATAAATGATTCAAATCTGTAAACAGTGATACAAAAAATTGATTTTATAAAACAACCTGCTTTTCCAATCATTACTTGGAACCATTTTGTCTTTCAGTGCCTCTCGTTTATTGTGCTTTTCTGGATTTGGCAAGAAATGCATGACAACTATGACACAAGCGACCGATGTAATTCCCACACAGGCGACCACGTAGATACCTGAGATTCTTGATTTACTTTCTAACTTGAAGATGAATCTTTGAAAGCTGGATTTGCGCTGAAAAACGATTTTCCAGATCCCAAGTCAAGTCAGAAAACTAATTTTGCATGAACACAATTTTTTCAAAGTAAAAGCCAGCTTAACTAACAGCTTAACTAACAGCTTAACTAACAGCAAGTACGAATTAAGTAGTAATATAAAATTAGTTTATACGTAAAATTAGCAATAGAAATGTTTGCAGACATTGATCTCAAAGCCTACTCAAAGCCTACCTAAAAGCGGAAAGGCTTGTGTCTTTGGAATGGCATCGGCTAGCATTTCCATTAACACGGTCAACGAGACGAGACTTGTTAGGCCAATGCTTAGCTGAAAGGCTGAAAGATTGGAAGACGGAAAGACTGAAAGACTGAAAAGCTACTGTTAAGCCGATGCTTAGCGATAAAGCTTCAAGTTCCTGTTTACTTATAAACTTTTCTGAAGCTAGGGTAGTTGTTTGTAAAGCTTGCCTGATACAGAGTGTTCAAAAAAAGTTCCCCATTTTAACTCAAATTTCTGAGAAAGTTGGATTGGTGGTTTTCTGAAAAAAGTGGCTCAAGGTGGTCTTGGTGTCAAAGCTATTCTTTGGCGTCACAATTTTTGGTCTTTTAGAGGATTTTCCTTATGATTTGACCCCGTACATGAAAAATTCATCACCACTAAATCCTCATAAAAACAAAATGAAAGATTAGTTGTAGACACTGAGACAAAGCTGATAGTAAAAAGAATATTTACTTAAAAAGCTAAAGTTCTTGAAAAAGAGTGACTCTAAATGAATGGGAAAATAAAACTGAAATCTCATCATAGCTTTTTATATGTTTGGCCCTTTGAGCCGTGCACAAGTGCTCGACGAAAAGCTGCCGAAATTAGTGAAATTCCAATGTTTATGCAGATCATTAGCACCGATTGGAACTTTTTTTGAACATCCTCTGTAACTTGGATAGATCTCTTACTTGAACTGATCTAAACTCATTGAAACATACTGCTGAGGGAGCTGGGGGACCCCCAAAGAGCTCCTCTTATCTAAAAGCCTTCCACCAGACGGCAAGCGATCACGCGACCACACAAAGAACACCTCGTCAGTCATTTACATAGGGTTTTTTGCTTTGTAAATGATATAAAAAAGATATTCAGCTGTAAATTTGTACCCGGGGATTTTCGGGATCGGGGAAACGATTGGCGGGGTTCGTTTGTTGAATCTCCAAACAAAATCTCTAATTTATGCTGATTTTGGAGTTGATTTTGGCGTAGAGCCTTAGCCTGAGCCTGAGCCTGAGCCTAAGCCCGTATTTTGGCTGCAAAGAATGATTGCGAGTGGTATAAAAACTCAACCAACCTTGGCTAATTGCTCTTTTTTATGATTTGGTGACCAAAACATTCCAATGATGGAGAGTGATGTTAAAATGAAACACGGTAAAGCGATCACATAGACGTAAAAGTTTGGTACTCTCTTGATCATGAGCAAAAATGAGCCCTGAAAATAAAAAGGTGTTTGTTTTTCGAAGTTAACCCTGATTTTGTTCAGATTTGTTTAGATTTGATTAGATTTGTTTAGATTTGTTCAGATTTGTTCAGATTTGTTCAGATTTGTTTAGATTTTTTTAGATTTGTTTAGATTTGTTTGGATTTGATTGGATTTGTTTTGATTTGTTTAGATTTGTTCAGATTTGTTTAGATTTGTTTAGATTTGTTTAGATTTGATTAGATTTGTTTAGATTTGTTCAGATTTTGATTAGATTGTTCAGATTTGTTTAGATTTGATTAGATTTGTTTAGATTTGTTTAGATTTGTTTAGATTTGTTTAGATTGTTCAGATTTGTTCAGATTTGTTCAGATTTGTTTAGATTTGTTTAGATTTGTTTGGATTTGATTAGATTTGTTTAGATTTGTTCAGATTTGTTTAGATTTGTTTGGATTTGATTAGATTTGTTTAGATTTGTTCAGATTTGTTTAGATTTGTTTAGATTTGTTTAGATTTGTTCAGATTTGATTAGATTTGATTGGATTTGTTTAGATTGTTCAGATTTGTTTAGATTTGTTTAGATTTGTTCAGATTTGTTTAGATTTGTTCAGATTTTGATTAGATTTGTTCAGATTTGTTTAGATTTGTTTAGATTTTGTTCAGGCTTTGTTCAGCTTTAGATTTTGCTCAAAACTTACAATCTCCAAGTTTTCACTGATCTTTGCAGCTATCGGCAACGCATTCAAAACCAACCATTCACCGTTTCCCTTCAAGAGTTTTGAGTACAAAGATTGGAATTTGAACATACCACTAGCGTACTCGAAACAGTGTTAACACGATAGTGCAATGAAATCCATTTACTGAATTCAAAAAAATCAAATTTGTAAATTCAAAACCAACGCCAGATAGGTGAGTGACAATACAGGTATGGAGCAATTCTGCTTGTCAAAAGGAAAGATGTTGGCCTGAAGAAAGATCATAGTTTAGTAAAGAGTAAAGTCATAGTAAAGTTCATAGTTTTTTCTAGATCAAAGATCAAGAATTCTGCAACCAAGTCTTGCAACTAGACATTAAAACAACGTTTTATTCATTTAGAGTAACTTTCTCTTTCTTTCTCTTAACTTTCTCTTAATACACTTTCTTAAAGCGCTTACTTTACCGTAAGCAAATGCCGGTTTACATCTGATTCGTGAAATTATAGTACTTCTGGCTAAAACCCTACCTTTCCAATCATTAAAAGTCATAAATACTTTTTAAACTCTACATCAATAGAGCAGGCAGTCTCGGTAAAATAGGCGGTGACCATGTGAATGCTTCCATTGCTGAAGATTCGAACATTTTGTGGCGCCTGCCCGGTGACCACTTCTAATTTCTTTCTGAAATTTATAGGTGTTGATTTTCAGCTAACAACGGAGTAGTGTGGTGGCTAAATGAAATGAGCCATATAATAAACGGCGTAGAATTTTGAGCTGATTTCAAATCTGTCTTCGATTTTTACAACGCAGCACTTTGTCAAAAGTTATAAGCGCTCAAAGTTTTGTATTTGGATGGCCTTTTTATGACCTTAAAACAGACCTTGAGCTTATGAGTTGAGTTATCAGAGCGGAAAAGATGTCGTGATGCCCAAGTGGCACTGGCCAAGTGGCACAGCCAAATGGCACAGCTAAGTGACACTGGCCAAGTGGCACAGCCAAGTGGCACAGCTAAGTGACACTGGTCAAGTGGCACAGCCAAATGGCACTGACCAAGTGGCACAGCTAAGTAACACTGGTCAAGTGGCACAGCCAGGTGGACAGAAAATGACTGGCCAAGGGCACAGCTAAGTGACACTGGTCAAGTGGCACAGCCAGGTGGCACTGGTCAAGTGGCAGGGCCAAGTGGCACAGCCAAATGGCACTGACCAAGTGGCACAGCTAAGTGACACTGGTCAAGTGGCACAGCCAGGTGGCACTGGTCAAGTGGCACAGCCAAGTGGCACAGCTAAGTGACACTGGTCAAGTGGCACAGCCAAGTGGCACTGGCCAAGTGGCACAGCCAAGTGACACTGGTCAAGTGGCACAGCCAAATGGCACTGGCCAAGTGGCACAGCCAAGTGGCACAGCCAAATGGGCCAAGTGGCACAGCCAAGTGGCACTGGCCAAGTGGCACAGCCAAGCTTGAATACGAGGCAAGGATTCTAAGGTTCGGGTCCTTTTGCTCTTTGACTTTTGTTTTTGCTTCTTTTAACTTTAAATGGTTTGAGTGGTCTCTGGTTTGAGCCTCTAGGTACGCCCACAATCGTACATCATCTGGCGTCACTTTTCCAATAATTTTCTGCAAGATTTGTTAGTTCTCCTGGAAACGTTGTCCAATTGCAGAATTATAGAATAGAAAAGTTTTTTGACTCAGCCAATTTCATTGGGCCACGATTTTAGGAGATTTTTTAAATTGATTGATTCTAGTTGTTTAACAAACGTATTCGTAATGCATGTGTCCGGGATCCAGATCGACTCGGTTGTTGTAACAATGGAAGAAACGTTTCCGAATTTCCGTTTATCCCAAACAAGCCTTGCGTCTCGCCAGTCCTAAAACAGTTTAACTGAACTTTTTCAAAACCCTTTCACTCCTGACCATCGCCAGCTCCAATCTTGCCTCCAAAATTTGCTTCTCTGCGTCCTAAAATGCATAAAAAGAGTCCATATTAGAAAAAAACCATATTGAAGAGCTTTACAAAGTTGAGCCCAAAAGTGATGTCTAATCTTCGAGTTTTACTTTCTGAAAAGTTTAGCTTTACTTTCTTCTTTTCGTCTTGTCAGTTTTCAAACAAACCGATAAAGTTGTCCGTCATTGGCTCAAATAGTGGAGCCAAACTTTTGTCGTATTTTCTCTTTGTTATGATCTCTTCCAAAATAAGGCTCGCGTTTTTCATGTAGTAAGCGTATTCAGCTGAAATTGGAAGATTCAGCTTTTAGAAAAGATGAGTTTTTGATCAATCTTGCCGCTAGATTATCGTAGTTAACTGAGAATTAGAATCAGTAATGAAAATGTTTTTGAACAAAGTTTCTTTGTGTGTTTTTTAATACTAGCTTTAATACTGGCTACTGTTATTTGCAATATTGCTCAAATAGCTCAAAAAATGTTCTTAAACCCTCTAGAAATCAGGTCTGGGCTTGGCTTTTGATATGGTTATGATCTGATATGGCTTGGCTAGACTTTTACTTGCTCAATGCTGGTTATGATCTGATATGGCTTGGCTACCCAGTGCTGGCTTGGCTACCCAGTGCTGGCTTGGCTACCCAGTGCTGGCTTGGCTACCCAGTGCTGGCTTGGCTACCCAGTGCTGGCTTGGCCCAGTGCTGGCTTTACCCAGTGCTGGCTTGGCTACCAGTGCTGGTTGGCTCCAGTGCTGGCTTGGCTACCCAGTGCTGGCTTGGCTACCAGTGCTGGCTTGGCTCCAGTGCTGGCTTGGCTACCCAGTGCTGGCTTGGCTACCAGTGCTGGCTTGGCTCCAGTGCTGGCTGGCCCAGTGCTGGCTTGGCTACCAGTGCTGGCTTGGCTACCCAGTGCTGGCTTGGCTACCCAGTGCTGGCTTGGCTACCCAGTGCTGGCTTGGCTACCCAGTGCTGGCTTGGCTACCCAGTGCTGGCTTGGCTACCCAGTGCTGGCTTGGCTACCCAGTGCTGGCTTGGCTACCCAGTGCTGGCTTGGCTACCCAGTGCTGGCTTGGCTACCCAGTGCTGGCTTGGCTACCCAGTGCTGGCTTGGCTACCCAGTGCTGGCTTGGCTACCCAGTGCTGGCTTGGCTACCCAGTGCTGGCTTGGCTACCCAGTGCTGGCTTGGCTACCCAGTGCTGGCTTAGCTACCCAGTGCTGGCTAGCTACCCAGTGCTGGCTTAGCTACCCAGTGCTGGCTTAGCTACCCAGTGCTGGCTTAGCTACCCAGTGCTGGCTTAGCTACCCAGTGCTGGCTATGATCTGATATAGCTTGGCTAGACTTTTACCTGTCCAGTACTTTACAAAATGATAGGACCACCCTCGATTTTTGACTTTATATAACTAAAAATGCAAAACGGTACTTAAATTCGAATTTTATATACAAAAGTACGCACAAATCCCGTTTACGAAATCATTTACTTTAAAAGTCACAAATTTTTAATCATTTCTTTATGATTTGTTGCAAAATGATAGAAAAACCACGTTTCTTTTTGATTTTTCACCTGTAATAACGACTTTTTGCTTGTTCTTCTATGCATAAGAAAATGCGGATTTCAACGAAGACATTAATTCAATTCACATGATCAGCCTTATTCATTGACAGCCAAGCTGCTTATTCATTGACGGAGTTGCTTTCAAATTCTACTGTAAGCGATTTCAGCTATACGAAATGGAACGAAACTTCACCTTTAAAATCTACCTGTTTCTCCATTACCAATGTAATCAAATTCAGTAACAACTGAATAGAAGTAATAAAATAATATGAATAAAGTTCTTGGAATCATTTTGACAATGTTTCCCTGCGTCATTTAATCAAGATGCGAAATTTGAGCAGCACTTTGCTGGAAACGAGGAAACCCGAATTTCGCTTTCCTTTTTACTTACCCAAATTGTTAACACGCGTTGGTCAAAGGTCAAAGTTGTCAAAGTTCTAATTTTATCACGAATTTGGTGAATAAAAATGGAGTAATCATTAAGTTTTCAAATATATTCATTGGTGAAAATAAAACCCTTTGCCTAAAGTTGAAAAGAGGAGCAGAGAAATCTTGCAAATAAGAAATGCATAAGAAATGCGGATTTCAACATTGTAAATCTCCTCTACAAAATAGGCTAAAACGTGTTTCAATTGATCGAACCATTGAAGAAATTTCGACGGCGAAATGAGTGAGAAAGCGAGTGACCAAAAAAGGGCACTTTTTGAAAGACCCACTTTCACAAGAGTTCGGTTTTGACTATATAGTGGAAAATGACGGCCCTAAAATCATTATCCTAAAAATATCATTCAAAATAATTAAGAGTTAGGATCATTTCATGGGAAAACTTTGTTTTTACAACAATTTTTCTTTTTTGTGAAAAAGCCGGTTTTTTTGGCGATTTTGAGAGTTTTGAACTTACGCTCTACCCAAATTTCTGTAAATGCATTTCCGCTAAACCTTTTTAAGAAATTGATATATATAGTTATCCTTTTTCTTAATCTTCAATTTTGGGAAGCTAACTCTATTTTGACCACACTAAACTTGTCCCTAAAGTGACTCGATTACTTTTTTGGTCACTCGCATTTTGCCCTCCAAATTTCTTCAATGGTTCGATGAATTGAAACACGTTTTAGCCTATTTTGTAGAGGAGATTTACAACTTTCAAATAGTTTATGACATTCATCGATATCAGGTTTCTATCGCTGGAAAGTTATGAAAATGTTGAAATCCGCATTTCTTATGCATGTATTAGAGTGGTGCAAAAGAAACTGCCGATGGGTATCAGCTCTCCTTTATCAGAAACGAGCGATGCTAACGGCATTATTTTTTTAATGTTTTGTTCGCATCTTTGTTTGCTATTTATTTCGATATTTGAATTTTTTGGTTGTTGTTTATTTTATTTAAAAATGCTTATATTTTTTATTTAGATCATGGTCGAGCAAAAGTTTGTGCTACGAGCAGCATTACTGTTTAACTTCAAAATTGGAAAGTCTGCTGCCGAATCGCATCGTTCTCTCTGTGCTGCTTTCGGAGATGGCAATTTGTCTCTCAGGCAGTGTCAGACTTGGTTTCAACGATTCCGAGAGGGAGACGAGACTTTGGAAGCTTACGAGCACGGTTCGAGGCCAGAAGTCGTGAACGAAGCCAAGCTGAGGGACGTTATTCAGGCCGATCGATGCCAATCTGCTCGAGATCTTGCGAAAATATTCCATTGTGATCATGTCACCATCGAACACCATCTTTTTTTTAATTTACCGTCAAATGGGCAGCTACTTTTGCACCACCCTAATAGTTCTATAATAGATTTAAAAGCTTATTGTTTACCCACTTATAATGAGAATTATGCATTGAATTTTAAGGACAGCTTATTTCTTGTCACTCTGTATAATCTTGGCAATAGATTAATCGAAAACGAAACTTTAGGATGATTCCTTGGACTTTAATGATCTGGTACCGGTGGCATGGCAAATCAGTGATGCTTTGGTAACGTTTTTTAGAAATATTGTGTTGTGTTGTGTTTCTTTTGCACCACCCTAATAGCTAATAGAATGAAATTGATCCACCAAGAAATATAGTTGAAATCGATTCATGTTGGTTAAAGCCTGGTTGTCTGGTTAAAGCTAAGGTTGTTTTCTGGTTAAAGCCTTCAATCTCTGTTTCAATTTCCACCATTTCCAAAAGCTAAAACGTACCTGCAACTTTCGAATCTTCTCGTTGAATAATGTAAAAAATGATACACTACTGGACAATGAAATATCATATTTGCAAAAACACTTTCGCACTTTCGCGCGTCTGTAACTCCCTTGTCTTTACCGTATTTCTAAATATTAATATTACCATTGTGTAGCCCTTGAAAAGGGCTTTCAGAAAATGTATAACACTAATAGTTTAAACGCAGAGACAACGGATTTACAGCTGCGCGAAAGTGACGATCGTTTTTCCAATATGATATTTCATTGTCCAGTGCTGTATATTAGGTATATGATTTTTTTTAATGTATTTACAATGTGAATTGTGCAAAAAATTTATTAAAAATTAGCATTTACTGAATAATATTCTTTTTTCCTATTATTTTTGAATACTCTCTAGTAGCAGTATGCCTTCCGACCATAACAATCACCGCTGCGAAAGCCGAGATGCATGCAGCAAGTGTTGATTTGACCAGCCTGGAAATGAGATGCTATAAAATGCTATAAAATGCTATAAAATGTACATGTTTGCTTTATAAAAGCTATCATTATCTGCTTCGTTATCTGCTTCGTTATCTGCTTCGTTATCTGCTTCGTTATCTGCTTCGTTATCTGCTTCGTTATCTGCTTCGTTATCTGCTGAATGATCTAGCCATCATGGCCGACTGGCTAAGAGCCTTGTATCTTAGGAGGTTAGTCGATAGATCAAGGGTTCAATCCCGGCTAGATTATTGGCTAGATTATTGGTTTTCCTATAGGGCTTAGGGGTTGTCCTTGTGCATTTTTTTAAATATTATTCGTTTGAATAAATTTAAATGATAAAAAGCGCTTAAAAAACGGAAAAAGTAGATAGATTTGGAGGAAAGATTGGCAAGATTGATCACTTTAGCTTTCAAATGTTGATTTGTTTTTAAGGAATCACTGTTTAAACTATATTAACTCATCAGGAAGGCTGTCATTTACAAAACTGTCAAACATTTACTGTCAAAACTCACATTGCAGCTCCAGTTGCAAGTGGGTTGGAAGGGGGAGAGCAATTTTGGCGAAGGAACACCCGCAGCCATTGACATACCTGAATGGACTTAAATGTGGAGAAATCTTCAAAACAAGCCGATAAGCAAGACGGCGATGAGAAGGATCGATGTGGAACGCATTTTGTTGAAGTTTTCTGAATATTTAGCAATACGAGATTTGTCTCAGTTTAACAAAGGAAAGGAAAACTGAAAAATTTTTTTGCCCAACTGGATCTTTTGCGCAACTCGCCATAACTTTCTTCTAAATCGGTCAATCTTTATGGTTTTAGTGTCATTTTATAGATCTCAACAAGGGCAACAAAATGAAATACCAAAATCATAAAGATTAGCCTACTTACTCGGGAATGGCATGAACTTAAGTCGGCATCAACCTTTGAATTGACCCTAGCTTATCTGATAGAGTTTAAGTTTGTGCCATTCCCTAGTAAGTAGACTAATTTTTATGATTTTGATGTAGTTTTGTTACCCTTGTTGAGATCTATAAAATGACACTAAAACCATAAAGATTAGCCCACTTACTATGGAATGGTACAAACTTAAACTCTATCAGATAAGCTAGGGTCAATTCAAAGGTTGATGCCGACTTAAGTTTGTGCCATTCCCTAGTAAGTGGGCTAATCTTTATGATTTTGGTATTTCATTTTGTTGCCTTTGTTGAGATCTACAAAATGACACTAAAATCATAAAGATTGACCGATTTAGAAGAAAGTTATGATGAGTTGCGCAAAAAATTTGGCGCAAAGTAGTCATCCCCAAGAAAAGAAAGGTTAAGGACTTTTCTAATCTGTTATAAAGTAAAAGTTTTGGTTTTTAAAGTTAACGCATTCATGAAGATGCTAATAACAAATATTTTTGGTGTTAACTCAACTTCTAAAGGGTTTTAAGGACTTTTAAAGACTTTTAAAGACTTTTAAAGACTTTTAACGACTTTTAACGACTTCTAAAGACTTTTAACGACTTCTAAAGACTTTTGTTATTGATTTCGTAAAAAATTCTTTATACTAGTTTTCAAGAGAGCCATCAAAGCTATCAAATGACTATATTTAGAGATTTAGAGCTATAAAATGATTATAAATTTTGTTTATCTTTAAATATTCACCAAATCATTAGTAAAACGGTTATCGACTACGAGATTGTACGCTTAAAATGTGTTATAAACGAAACCCAAACTAAAATCACTAATAAAAAGAGGAAGAAATGCTGAAATTTTGGCTCCACCTTTCTCTAAAAGATCAATCTCATTTCTCAACTTAAAAACAGTTGGCGCCAAACGCTAGCACACAAAGAAACAAAAAAGCACACTTGGTCTATTTCTGATATCGATAAATCGTGAGCTTTTAGCTCTAGAGAAAAGCTCGTTTACTCCGGATTACTATAAGGATTTAAGATCTCCTCATCTTAAGCACCAATCTCTTAGGCAATTACTTACCAATTACTAAGCCTAGGAAATCCCATAATTACTTTTGGGTCATTGAATTTTGTGCCATTGGTCGAATTTGTGGAAATCTTTAGTCTTTTCCTCTTTGTCAAAAGCTTTAGCACAACTGTTGTCCAATCTAAGCTAAGAAAGATTTTGTGCTTGTTGGAGGATTTTCCGTTTCAAAAGACAAATCGATCAGATCGATCGATCGACAAAAGCGATCTACTTGAGTGCTAGGAAACGCTTTAGCACAACTGAGATAAAAGGAAATCTTTCTTAGCTCTTTCTTAGCTCTTTCTTAGCTCTGAGAACTCTTTCTTAGCTTAGATTTTAACAGAAAGTCTGGGGACTTTAGTTTGACCAATGATCTGCTGAATATAATTTTATGACCACCGCAACTTTCTAAGAAAAATGATATCCCATCAAAAAAATCATATACCGTATTTTCTCTAATAGTAATGCACCCTGAGCGTCGCCTAAATTCCTCGAAATCTCGAGAACCAAATATCAGAAACTATCGATGTGGGATCGGAAAATGTAGCTGACGATGACATCTAGTGAGAGATTAGAGTGTTGGGAAGCCAGCCAATCCACCGTCTCCTGTAGTTTACTTGTTCTAACTATGGCCTTTTTCACCGTACCTTCATTCCTGAGGTTCCAGGGTACCCGTTCTGTCCAGGCGCTTCAGCAGATCCTTGTTCTCTCTTGATTCCAGGGGCTCCAGGGTATCCATCACGTCTGGGTTCTCCAAGCAATCCATCTTCTCCACGTTTACCAGGAATACCAGGAAGACCAGATTCTCCTAAAGAACTTTTTAGATTAGTTTCTAAGTACCGTATCCTCTCTAATAGTAGTGCACCCTGAGCGTCGCCTAAATTCCTCGAAATCTCGAGAACCGCTTATCAGAACCTATCAATGTGGGGTTGGAGAATGTAGCTGACGATGAGATCTAGTGGGGGATTAGAGTGTTGAGCTTCTGCAAAAGCTTGAAAACCTTAAAATAGTCACCAACTCGGCTCAGCGATATCATTAGGGAACTACTATTAGGGAACGATATTTGAAACGTTTTTTACAGAGAAATTTCTGCTTTAGGAATTGCAGAAAGGTTTACGATAAGAGAGTCATTAAAGCGATTGGAGCTTCTGAGCTTCTGCTCTCAAAATTCAAGGACTAAAAGAGAGTACTGGATTTGGTCTAGATAGCTCTCCCTTAAGGCACTTCTACATGGCCGTGTGGCCCAATGGATAAGGCGTCGGACTTCGAATCCGAAGATTGCAGGTTCGAGTCCTGCCACGGTCAAAATTTTGACTTTTGCACAAACCATTTTTAGTTTCAATGGTTGTTTAATTATCTGGCAATTAAGAAGCAAAATATTGTTGAGCTTCTGCAAAAGCTTGGAAACCGTAAAATATTTATCAACTCCGGCCGGCTCGAGTACTATTACGTATGCTAAGCTGTTCTTTAGCTAGAGTTTCAACGTACAACGTAACAGCTAACAGCTAACAGCCAGATTGTGATCCTGTTGGTGGCTTTCACTTGGGCCCTCAGCACCCAGTTCAGATCCTGTTGGTGGCTTTCACTTGGGCCCTCAGTACCCGGTTCAGCAAGACAGCACTAACCGTTGACCGGGAGAACTTCTATGCCCATATTTCATGGTAAGTAAGAACAATAGAAAATTCAACACTTAATAAATATTATACTCAGCTCAGCACGGTGCACTACTATTAGGGAACGATATTTGAAACGTTTTTTACAGAGAAATTCCTGCTGGAATTGCGGAAAGGTTTACGAGAATTGCAGAAAGGTTTAATAGAGTCATCAAAAAAGTTCACCTATACAGTGATTAGATGAAATTTATGAATTCTTATTCAATGCAAACCTTGTCTTCTTGAGTGCAGCTATCAATCGCATCGCTTCTCGTATATCATCAGACATATGAGCAAATCGACCTCGTGCTCTAAATTCCTCGAAATCTCAAAAACCGCTTATCAGAACCTATCGATGTGCGGTCGGAAAATGTAGCTGACGATGAGATCTAGTGGGGGATTAAAGTGTTGAGCTTCTGCAAAAGCTTGGAAACCGTAAAATAGTCACCAACTCGGCTAGGTCGGGGTGCACTACTATTAGAGAGAATATGGTAATTAGCCTATGAATTAGCTTAATTCTGAAATGCGCCCCAAAGTGCAGCTATTCAATCTGTAGATCCTTTAACAATCTACTATATAAGCGGAAAAAACTCGTCTGTCCGTCCATCTGTGAGCAGTCATTGGCAAAAAGGGCGTGATTGCGTGGAAAACGTGGAGCTCCCCAGTGGAAAAAGCGAAGGTTTGTGAGCGTTTTCCCCTTCGAGCTCAAGGCAAAAAATTTGATAGAAACCGTATACAATTTTACTATCCATTAGACCACTGCCGCCGTTGAAAGGGCTGCCTAAACTTGACTTAAAAAGAAGCTAAAGCTTGAGCTAAAGCTTGAGCTAAAACTTGAGCTAAAACTTGAGCTAAAACTTGTTTAGCAAATATCTTGCGTTTCCGTGCCATTCGTGCCAAAAGCAGATTCAGAATTAGCGTAAATAATTGCATCGGAAAAACTGCATCGTAAAAAAACAGAGCTTAGGCTGAGCTGAGTTTGATTGACTTGAAGCTCTTACGCCAGCAGCTCGTGTTTCTCAGCGTTGAGTAGACCAATCAAGCTTTATTTGGTGCCATTCAAAAGCCAAAACTGTTTTCTATCTATTAAAGAGAAGAGAAATCAAAAATATTGTATTTAGAAGTTACAACGTTTAAATTTTGTTAGAGTTTAAAGTAACGTTTAAATTTTGTTAAATTTTAAAGTTTAAAGTTACAACAACGTACCAAAAACGGACAAGAGCTATGATTTTTGTTCTTTAATTGATTTTAATTGATTTTAATTGATTTTAATTGATTGATTGATTGATTGATTGATTGATTGCTTGATTGATCTTAATTGATTGATTGATTGAATTGTTTTTAATTGATTGAATTGATTTTAATTGATTTTAATCGTATTCCTTTTCACTATCATAATAAAACATTTATTCAAAAAACGATCAAAAAAACATTTCTTTGGCTTGTGAGGCCACTGAGGCAGAATCACAGTTTTGCGATATAAAAAAAAGTACAACTAAAAGAATCTTTTTCTCAATTTCTATAAAAAAATGAGCCAAGAAGAAACATTGAAAGAAATAGAAGAAAGTTTAAAACACAAAAAGAAGCAGTGAGATTCTCTGATATGTCACCAAATAACGGTAAAAGTGAGAAGAAAAGACGCTTTGATCAAAAAGAATAAAAAGAATAAAAAGAAAGGTAAATGATAAAGGTTAAACAATAATTTGAAGACCCTAGATATTTAAAAATTTAATTTCTGGTATCAGTTGTGCTTTTTTTACGTTGTAAACGCATGTAAACGCATCACGTTTTAGTACAATTCAGAATTCAATCAACCTGAGTACTTTCAGCTCTAGTAAACGACTTTGAGTTCTAGTAAACGTACTTTCAGCTCTAGTAAACGGACTTTGCGATCTAGTAAACGTTTCTGGCTTATTATTTTCTTCAGTTTACTGCAGTTTACACAATAAATTTGTTAATTTAAAGGTTTTAAAGCACAAAAAACACCAATAGTCTTTTTTTTGAAGGGCTTTCCGATTGTAAAACTAATTTCATTATTATCACCAAGACTTTGAATGGATAAAATTTTATCCTAGCATAGATTTAGAGATATTTTAAAGTAAACTTGCAACAAAAACATCTCTCGGTCCTTTTGTGTCGGCAATTTAAGGGTTTTCATGTTTTTCTCATCAGCAACCCTTCAATTTTGACTATTTTGACAAGCATTCGATGGAGAATAAAATTGCGCGTCGAATGATACCAAAATCAACTCAAAATGTGATATCCACGCAAAGTTATGAGGCAAAAGGTTAAGTCCCGCCCATTATGAGCAGAGTTTAGGTTTTTAGCGAACAACTTTACGTGGATATCACATTTTGAGTTGATTTTGGTATCATTCGACGCGCAATTTTATTCTGCATCGAATGATAATCAAAATAGTCAAAATAGAAGGGTTGCTGATGAGAAAAACATGAAAAACCTTAAATTGTAGACAAAAAAGACCGACAGATGCTTTTGTTGCAAGTCTAACAGAAAAGACAAGGATTCAAAAATATTCAGTCAAAAGTTTAGCTTAAAACTTTCTTGCCTAAAGATTTCAATTACTATAATGACTTTACAGTATTCAATAAATTCTCATTTAAAAGAAAAGCATCGGATCGGAGGAAGACATTTTGTGAGCCAATGGAGAAATCGGTGGCCGTCCATTCAGCGAATACTCATCCATATATTGTGCATACTAAAATTGATCAATTGTTCAAGTCAATTCCGACATTTCTCTCGATTACCGTAATCGAAAGAATCTAGAAAAAGAGTACTTTGTGGAGTGGACATTGTGGAGAAAAATGGAAAGAAACAAACCCTAGCTGGCGCACTTAATCCCTTATTTTTGGCCACTTAGTGCGCCAGAAAGTGCGCCAGAAAGTGCGCCAGAAAGGAGGCATTTCTCCATTTCTCCATTTCCAACACAAAGTACACCCAGAGAAACAATTCTACTGTAAATTCTACTGCAAATTCTACTGCAAATTCTACTGTAAAGTTTCCTAGTCATGCGAGTGTTTAAATGCTAGAAAATGTTTTGTAAGTGAAAAGAGAGAAAAGATGAAGAAAGTTTACTGAAAATGCATGACATCTAGTGCTGATAGACTAAATTTAAAACAAGTAAATGTTAAAGTGATTAGGTTGGAAAGAAAGTCCTTGGAAAAAGTTTGCACGGTGATTTCTTCAAAACCAAGCCATCAATTCTTGCCAGCTTTTTTGATAAACTTGACTATATTACAAAGTTTCGACAAAACAATCGGAGTAGGTTTCAGGTAAAATAAGAGCTATGGGCTAAGAGCTATGGGCTAAGAGCTATGGGCTAAGAGCTATGGGCTAAGAGCTATGGGCTAAGAGCTATGGGCTAAGAGCTATGGGCTAAGAGCTATGGGCTAAGAGCTAAGAGCTAAGAGCTAAGAGCCTTCAGCTAAGAGCCTTCAGCTAAGAGCCTTCAGCTTTCTGAAGAGCTAAGTGCTGCTAAGAGCTAAAAGCTAAGAGCTAAGAGCTGCTAAGAGCTAAGAGCTAAGAGCTAAGAGCTAAGAGCTAAGAGCTAAGAGCTAAGAGCTGCTAAGAGCTAAGAGCTAAGAGCTGCTAAGAGCTAAGAGCTAAGAGCTAAGAGCTAAGAGCTGCTAAGAGCTAAGAGCTAAGAGCTGCTAAGAGCTAAGAGCTAAGAGCTAAGAGACTTCAGCTAAGTGACTTGGTCACTTTTTGAGGGATAAACCTTTAGACAAGTTTTTAATGGGTTAATGGATAGGCAATGGGTCCCATTCAAAACCTCAAAATGAAGTATTTAAAATAGGGAAAATTTGTGATTAAGGCAATCTAATGCTTTAACTTTTCAGAATCATCTAGCAAACACTCTTTTTTGCAAGAAGATGACACGAAAAAAAGTATTTTTTGAAATACAGCTTCTCTGTGAAAGATTTTTAGTCAAAAATAGAGATTATAGAGCTTTGCTTTTGCTGATTGCTAATTTATGATTTTTCTGATGCAAAAAGTGAGTTGAATTTAAGCTGGAAGATAAGAATTTTTCAAAAATCTCTAAAATTCTAACGGAAAGCTGTACTCATTTTTTACGAACAACTTCTTGGAGTCGATTTGTAAATAATCGAAGAAAATCTTCTTGAATTGGTGGATTGGTTGTTTAGGAAATTCCAGTCAAAGTTTTTCTTTTTCCCAGAACTTTCTTTCCAATCTAATAGTTAGAAGTTAGAACGAAAATTAGTGAAAACGTGCTTTGATTGAAAATCTCAATTTCTCATGCATTTTTTTGACTCTTTGTTATCTCCATTTTCTCTACTCGCTCACCCGGTGATCGCCGACAGCTTTCCGGTAAATCCGGGTAAGTAACGGGAACTTGAATGAAAAAATTGTATTTGAGAAAATTGAAACGAATCGAAAGGAAAGGAAAAATTGTTGGGAAACTTTTTCGAGTTAAAAGTAAAGTAATTTAGGATTAAAAGTACTGTGACTTAGGATTAAAGGTTAGAAGTAAAGTTACGATAGAAAGTACTGTAACTGTCTCTAGTTTTGTCTCTAGTTTTGTCTCTAGTTTTGTCTAAGCTATCAAATCTTGACAACTACAGTAATCTTGTCTCTAGTTTTGTCTCTAGTTCTGTCTAAGCTATCGGCTTCTGCCAATTACAGTAATCTTGTCTCTACTTCTATCTAGGCTATCAGTTTCTGCCAATTACAGTAATCTTGTCTCTAGTTTTGTCTCTAGTTCTGTCTAAGCTATCAGCCTTTGACAATTGCCCTAATCTTGTCTCTAGTTCTGTCTAAGCTATCAGCTTCTGCCAATTACAATAATCTTGTCTCTAGTTTTGTCTCTAGTTTTGCCTAAGCTATAAACTCTTGACAACTACAGTAATCCTGTCTCTAGTTTTGTTTGATCTATCAAGGTTTCGAGAGTTCTTAGTCCATCTATTGATTGAATAAAGCTAAAAACAAGATTACGATAGCTTTCAATTGTTGAATGTTTTAGAAAACGCCATAACCTCACTACAGTATCCTGAAAGTAGTTTTACGCTAATCCTAAACATTTTACTAACTAGTAATACTGTTTATTAGTAGTAGTTACAACTTCTAATCTACGAACAACTAGATAACTAGAAGAACTAGATAACTAGAACAACTAGATAACTAGAAGAACTAGGTAACTTGAACAACTAGATAACTAGAAGAACTAGGTAACTAGAACAACTAGGTAACTAGAAGAACTAGATAACTAGAACAACTAGATAACTAGAAGAACTAGGTAACTAGAAGAACTAGGTAACTAGAAGAACTAGATAACTAGAACAACTAGATAACTAGAAGAACTAGATAACTAGAAGAAATAGAAAAATAGAAGAGCAGGGGGGTAAGAGAAAAAAAAAAAAATAACTAGAACAACTAGATAACTAGAAGAACTAGGTAACTAGAAGAACTAGGTAACTTGAACAACTAGCTATTAAAAACCCATGAAAGAGTTTCTCGAAAAGTCACCAACTTTTTCCTTGCTTTCAAGTTTTCAAACGACGATCAAAAGATAGAAAAGATGTTGTTAGAATGCTCACATGATCATGCGCAGACGAGTTCTCGTTGTAATCGATTGACGGTAGAGCTGCGTCGTGAGCATCATGACCAATCATGCCTCCACCAACAGCACTCCCATTCAAGCGATTATATGAATATGGGTATGGACCGGCTCCATGTAGTGGAGGCCCAAGAATTGGTGGAACCCCTCCACTCACTGCATCTTCGATCCATCGCAAGAGGTGAACGTTGTGTGGGACGAAAGGCGACTTTCGGAGATGCTCTTGAACTTCGAGGAAACGTCGCAAATCCTCAAGCGTTATTCGATCCTTTGAGGCTCTGGAATTAGCTTGATAAAAAGTAATTGCTTTGTTTAGATTCTCAAACTTTATCTAACCCTGATATCTGATCCTTATCTCTGATCTAGAAGGCTTAGGATTAGGCAGAGGCTTATAAAAAAGCTGACATTCGGAACATTACCCGATTTTCTTTAATAGTTATTCCGAATATCCCGCTCTCTAACTAACAGCTAACAGCCAGATTGTGATCCTGTTGGTGGCTTTCACTTGGGCCCTCAGTACCCGGTATAGATCCTGTTGCTGGCTTTCACTTGGGCCCTCAGTACCCAGTTCAGATCCTGTTGCTGGCTTTCACTTGGGCCCTCAGTACCCAGTTCAGATCCTGTTGGTGGCTTTCACTTGGGCCCTCAGTACCCAGTTCAGATCCTGTTGCTGGCTTTCACTTGGGCCCTCAGCACCCAGTTCAGATCCTGTTGCTGGCTTTCACTTGGGCCCTCAGTACCCAGTTCAGATCCTGTTGGTGGCTTTCACTTGGGCCCTCAGTACCCAGTTTAGAAAGACAGCACTAACCGTTGACCGGGAGAACTTCTATGCCCATATTTCATGCTCAGTAAGAATAATAGAAAATTCAACAGTTAATAAATATTGTACATTGTAAATCAGCGATATCATTAGGGAACTACTATTAGGGAACGATATTTGAACGATATACAGGGAAGTTCCTGCTGGAATTGCGGAAAGGTTTACGAGAATTGTAGAAAGGTTTAATAGAGTCATGAAAAAGTTCACCTATAGAGTGATTAGATGAAATTTATGAATTCCTATTCAATGCAAACCTTGTCTTCTTGAGTGCAGCTATCAATCGCATCGCTTCTCGTATATCATCAGACATATGAGCAAATCGACCTCGTGCTCCACGAATCTTTCTGAAAAGGTCAACAATTTTAAGTGTCACTGTTATAACTAGATTTAAATTTCCTTTGAAATAATAGGATAAGGATTCTACATTCAAGATTCTATATTGCTTTAAAAGTTGCTTTTCAAAAGTTGCCTTTAAAAAGTGGCTTTTAAAAAGTTACTTTTCTGGGTTGTCCATAAGTTAATTTCTAGATTTAGACACTTTTTTCTGCTAGAGTTTATAAATGACAAATTCACCAATTGATCTAAAATTGGTTTCATTAAAAAAACCTACTATTTTTCTACAAAATAACGTTCAAATTTTATGAAAATTGTTTTGTTTATGTTTTTTTAATTGGGGCGCGGAGTCGGGTAGTCAAAAAAATAATAAAAAAGATCAAAAAGTCAAAAGTTTAGGCTCGATGATGCGATTTAGACACTTTTAGCTAAAGGAAACCTAACTTAGCTTCAATAGATAAAAGATAGAGCGCAAAAAGTCGTCAAATTCAAACAGTAGTCAAATTTTCTGGACAATCTGTTCAGTCGATTTCTTTGTAGGGCTTTTTATCGAATTTTACGCAAAAACGAGTTTTTTGCACTCGAATTTGCATGGAAACAGACCGAAATCGACTTGAAATGGTAGAAAATTGAATGCTAAACATCTTCTATTGGGTTGATGCATAATTATCCGGACTTCTTTTTGCGTGCTTGTATCTTTTTTGTTTTGAAAGCTTTTTGTCTATTTCTTTTTTTTAAATATTCGTTATTCTTTAGTGAACAAAATGCGTGTCGACAATCATATCCATCTTCGCCATATCATGCTCTACCACTTCGAAAAGGCATGGTCTGCCGCAGAGTCGTTTCGCGATCTCAAAGAACTGGAGAAGCCCCAACGGACTACCACGTCAATCGATCGCTCAAAAATTGGCAAACAAATAAGATCTACAACGATTTGGATGACTTGATAGACGATGTTAAAGCGTGGATTGCCTCCAAAGATCGTTTATTCTTCGCTCGTGGAATCGATCGTCTTCCAAGCAAACGGCAATCAGTTATTGATGTAGGCGGTGAATATGCTCCAGAATAATCAATTAAACATATTTTTCTAACTATTTATGTTATTTTTTGTTAAATAAAATCATTTATAAAAGAAGTCCGGATAATTATGCATCAACCCAATATTTAGAGCAAACGATCGGTCAATTGGTGACTTTTTCATTTATAAAGAAAAAAAGTGTCTAAAGACTTATGGATGAACTTTGCTTGTCTATTGCTTGTATATTACTGCTTGTCTTCCACAAGCAAGTCTTTCTTTTGTGTAACTTTTCCAACAATTTTCTGCAAGATTTGTTAATTCTCCTGGAACCGTTGTCCAATTGCAGAATTATATTGGATTGGTGAATTGAAAACTGCCGGCTATGGTCATATGTGACAGTTTGAGCACTTTCTTCAAAAGAAACCCATTTTGGTGTCAATGGAAAAGTTGTAGAGAATCAAGAATTAAGCTTATATCCAAATTTTCAGAACGATTCAAAAACTGGTTTTCAAGAAATGCCAAATTTCCGAATTTGCACAAAACTTGCAACAAACTAGCGACAAAACTTGCATTTTAAGCGAAACTACTAAGTGTATCTTTTTGGAAATTTGGCTATAAGCCTAATTTTTGATTCTCTACAACTTTTCTATTGACGCCAAAATGGGTTTCTTTTGAAGAAAGTGCTCAAACTGGGCTGACAGCTGACATCTCCAGTCCTCCATTTTTGAGCCTCACACTTGTCTCACACACAAACCAAAATCCTACTACGAAAGAGGAATCCGCAAATTGCCTGTAGAATAGGCAGAAGTCGTCAATAATAATGGAGATTATTTGGAATGAATTTATGGTTTTATGTCGAATAAATTCTAGTTCAAAGTCCCGCAGTTTTCAATTCACCAACCCAATACTTAAACTAGATTTGCTTTCCATTTTTGACTACAGACTCAATAATTTGATTCTATAAAATCAGCCAGATCATCTCGGGAATTGGATTTAAATCGAGAGTTTCGGTTTTTCTTTTATCAATCTCTCAATTCCCTACTCACCTGCCAAAGTAGTGCAATTTCGTGAACGTTCTCTTCAACGTCGACGAGCACAAATCGAGCGAGGCCGTGATCACAGCAAGACCAATTATGACATAAACAACAACTAACTGGAGAAAAAAAAAATGGTTAACTTTCACTTTAATCAAAACTGACCGCTAGATACCAGTGACTTTTCACGTAAATATTCCCCAAACCGATCGTGGTGATCGTGTTGAACGAGAAGAAAAGGCCGTGAACGAAGGACCTAGAGTAGGATTTGAAAATACATTTATTGAGACGAATAATGTGATAAAGCAATGTGATAAAGCAATACAAGCACAACCAGTAAACCCGAAATTTAGGGAAAAACCCATATACCGCATTTTCTCTCTGTTACTATCGCGGTTTTCTCTCTTTGTCTTCCATTACTTTCCCAAGAGTACAAGTTAAAAGGCTCTTGGGAAAGTACTTATCTTACTTAAGCTTCTCTCTTACTTCTCTCTTACTGCTCTCTTACTGCTCTCTTACTTCTCTCTTACTTCTCTCTTACTTCTCTGTTACTTTTCTGTTACTTCTCTCTTACTTCTCTCTTACTCTTACTTCTCTGTTACGTCTCTGTTGTCTCTCTGTGACCTTACCGTGGAAATCAACGGTGGAAATTGCTTTGCTTAATGGCAAAACGGAAGAACAAGGGAAAGGTTGTGGATCTTTGGAGGACGAACAAGAATCGCTGCTCAGATTTTGACTTTTGCTTGCTTTGTGGAAAGGAGGGGAATGACTGGAGGCTCTGTTACGTTTCTGTTATTTCTCTCTTACTTCTCTCTTACTTCTCTCTTACTTCTCTCTTACTTCTCTGTTACTTCTCTATTACACACTCTGCTTCTCTATCACCATCGCGGTTCTCTCTCTTTGTCTTCCATTACTTTCCCAAGAGCACAAGTTAAAAATTGATTTTCCAGCCAACCTAATAGAATTGAGTGCGCGTATTTTATCAAAAAAATAACAAAAAAAGACTCACATTAAACCAAGATTTAAAGTTAAGAAAGAAAAGAAGGAGGACACTTTTACAGGAGGAGCCCTTTTTTCTTTCCATCCCCATATCTCGACTCCCACCTAATATTTTTAATTACTTTTTTTTTGCAAAATGGGCACAGATAACTCTAACTTTACCACTTTTATTTGCTCGATGCGTTCGCAATAAAAATCCCATAATATATAGACATGGGTGTATCACAGGAGAACACTTTAAGGGGATAGCTCTAATTACTCTCCCCCCATTTACACTTTGTAGATTTCTTCGTCACCTAATAATTTGTAATAATAACCCTAATGGTTTATCCATCAAAAGATTCGCAAAAAAAATTTGCTTTTGAATGGTATTTTGAAATTTTCGAAGCATCCACTAGTTTTTGAGAAAGAAAAAACTGAATTCAAAGAAGGGGACACTCGGAATGTAGACTAATAGTAGTGCACCCTGAGCGTCGCCTAAATTCCTCGAAATCTCAAAAACCGCTTATCAGAACCTATCGATGTGGGATCGGAAAATGTAGCTGACGATGAGATCTAGTGGGGGATTAAAGTGTTGAGCTTCTTCAAAAGCTTGGAAACCGTAAAATAGTCATCAACTCGGCTCAGCTATATCATTAGGCAACTACTATTAGGGAACGATATTTGAAACGTTTTTTACAGAGAGATTTCTGCTTTATGAATTGAAGAAAGGTTTATGATAAGAGAGTCATTAAAGCGATTAGAGCGTTGAGCTTCTGCAAAAGCTTGGAAATCGTAAAATAGTCACCAACTCGGCTCGCCGGGGTGCACTACTATTAGAAAAAATACGGTATATGGAAAAAGATCCAATGGATTGAACCAATCGATACCCGGCGGGATTGAACCCTCCCGATTAACCCCCCGATTAAGAAACAGTGCTCTTAGCCAGTCGGCCATGGCGGCAACGATCAAAAGAGGAAGTGAAACAGATACTTTTAGACTTTTCAAGATCTTATAGCTTGACTGAGACACTTTCCGTACAGCTTTACAGTAAAGTACAGTAGTACAGTAGTAGTATAAAGTACAATAGTACAGTAGTAGTATAAAGTACAGTAGTTTTTACTTGTCCGTCTTTCAACTAACCAAATTGGTCCCTTCTCGAAAGCATTGAACAACAAACTCCCGATACAACAATACCCAATGATGAGAGCGAAATAAGAAGCAATTGGAAGTTGTAATCTGAAATGAATTTCATTTGGAATGATCAGTTTTCTTAAAAAACAGCTTTGCTAGTGCGTTTCTCGTATGCTAATTGTAGCCAAATGGAAACTTTGTCTCCTTGGCGCAGTCAGAAGCGCGCTTGTCTACGGTCCACAAGATAGACAGATGCTCTCTCGCTTATAATAAGTAGTAGACCTGGGAGTTTTCTTTATCAAGATCAATAGGCTTTCAACGGAAAAATGTCATATCTTGGCCAATTTCACTCCAATCTTTTTAACTTTGATTTAAATCGATAGAAAATGAAATTCTGCATCAATTGATACCAAAATCAAAAAGATCGGAGTGAAATTGACTGAGAGATGCCATTTTTCCGTTGAAAGCCTATTGACATTCACACAGAAAATTCCCAGGATAGTTCGAAATTCGAAAATAAGTAGGATAGTAGATATCAACCTTTCATCCTCATCTTCCGATGCTCCCTCTTCGTCCGTTTGTCGTCGTCGATTCTTTTTCAGTTGACTGAAACAATGAACATGAGCTAGATTTTTGAGTGCCTCATTCTACTTCTATTAAGGCCAAGTATTTGACGAAAAGCCACTCATTTGATCATTTAAATTGTTGTGAAACGCTAACTCAACTAGCTGCCCGGTAAACAATCCAATTTTTTGGCCTTGTCTTGTTTTATAGGTTTGTTGAAATATTCTTTCTGCCTGTCAACAATGAAATGAATGAAATGGAAATTTATGTGATTAAGAATGAGATTTTGCAACTATGAGATCTTTGAATCAAAAACAATTACTCTTTTAGCTATTGCGTGATTTCGTTACTCTTTTTTCATTCCATTTTTCATTCACTAACACTGAATCAATCGAATCGACATCAGATGCAAAGAGATGATCCCGAATCGCCTCGATCACACTCGAGATCCACTCCCAGATTTGTAAGAGTTTTGCGTATGAACTAAAATTCGTTTTTTGGGATCTCCCCGTCTATTTTACCGTATCACGATCTCGGATAGAAATTTTCCGATGTCAGCGGCAGTGATGAACATGAGTGGGATGCCCAGAAGGCCGAAAAACACGGTGAATATTCTTCCCGGATCAGTTGTGGGTGTCACATGGTCATAACCCGTCGATGTGATCACTGTTAGTGCGTATAGGACGGCCGCGTCGAAGGACCATCTAAAGAAGAAATGGTTGCTATGTTGATCTCTCAATTTCCGGAAAGTCAATGCACTGCTCTAGGAACAGCTCTGAAACTTGGGCTATAGTTGGGCCAAACTTGAGCTGTGGCAACAGCAATAGCTATTGTTGGGGAGAAACTTAGACTATGGCAATAGCCCTAGCTATTGTTAGACTAAACTTGGGCTATGGCAACAACTCTAGCTATTGTTGGGGAGAAACTTGGACTATGACAATAGCCCTAGCTATTGTTGGGGAGAAACTTGGGCTATGACAACAGCCCTAGCTATTGTTAAAGCAAACTTGGGCTATGGCAACAACTCTAGCTATTGTTGGGGAGAAACTTGGGCTATGGCAACAACTCTAGCTATTGTTAGTCATTTCTGAGCCTGTTTGGATAAGTGACTTTCAAATAATTGTCAGAAAACCAGCCAATTGTGGTACCTTTAACCGATGCCAAATCCCCAATTAATACCAAGCCTATTGCAAAGATTATAGGGTAAAGTTTTAAATTAGAACTAGCCGTTCTCTGCTTTATTTGGATATCACTAACAGATTCAGCACCTCCAAGACAAGTTTAGCTTTCCATTTAGCACCGTTTTGCCACATTTAAGCCTACATCTTCCAAATTCTTTCCAAAAGCAAACCTTGTTTCCAGGTTTTCCGCATAATTTGTCCACAATTGTCCCTCTTTCGTGAATCGATCATCGTACTCGTGCGTGCTTGAAAGCTCATAAAGAAGCGGCCTCAAACGTGCCTCCATCTGTAACATTCATATATTAGGTCTAGGAAAGGAAAAAAAATGATTTTCCCTTAAAAGTACACTTATCCAAAACGAAAAAACCCCTTTTTTCCACTCACCATTGACACATTTCTGTCACAAGTCGCCTGCGCTTGTTGCACGACTTTTCGATATATTCGATGTATTGTCTGAAAAAGTATTGGGTTGGTGAATTGCACTACTTTGGCTGGTGAGTAGGGAATTGAGAGATTGATAAAAGAAAAACCTAAACTCTCGTAACGGATTTTACATTCAATTGTCGAGGATGATCTGGCTGATTTTATAGAATCAGATTATTGAGTTTGTAGTCAAAAATGGAAAGCAAATCTAGTTTAATTCGATATATTCGATGTATTGTCTGAAAAAGTATTGGGTTGGTGAATTGAAAACAGCCAAACTTTGAACTAGAATTTATTCAACATAAAACCATCAATTCATTCCAAATAATTTCCATTATTATTGACGACTTCTGCCCATTTTAAAGGCAATTTGCGGATTCCTCTTTCGTGGTAGGATTTTGGTTTGTGTGTGAGACAAGTGTGAGACTCAAAAATGGAGGACTGGGCTTTGAGAATGGAGGACTAGACTCTCAGTTTGAGCACTTTCTTCAAAAGAAACCCATTTTGGTGTCAATGGAAAAGTTGTAGAGAATCAAGTATTAAGCTTATATCCAGATTTTCAGAATGATTCAAAAACTGGTTTTCAAGAAATTTACGAATTTTCACAAAATTGCAACAAACTTGCAACAAAACTTGCATTTTAAGCGAAACTACTAAGTGTATCTTTTTGGAAATTTGGCTATAAGCTTAATTTTTGATTCTCTACAACTTTTCTATTAAGACCAAAATGGGTTTCTTTTGAAGAAAGTGCTCAAACTGGGCTGACAGCTGACATCTCTAGTCCTCGATTTTTGAGTCTCACACTTGTCTCACACACAAACCAAAATCCTACTACGAAAGAGGAACCCGCAAATTGCCTGTAAAATGGGCAGAAGTCGTCAATAATAATGGAAATTATTTGGAATGAATTGATGGTTTTATGTTGAATAAATTCTAGTTCAAAGTCCCGCAGTTTTCAATTCACCAATTCAATAATTTGAATACAATAAGCTCACTTTAAAGCTCGACTAGCTCGACTCATCGTTAATCATTAAATCTTTTAACATCAATTCTTTTCAAACCTCCAATTTTTGTTTTCTATTCACGAGCTCATGATCGGCTTCAAGCCAGATGAAAATCCCAGCTCCGCCAGCGATATACGAGAGCAGTAAAAGGTTCAGCCCGACGTGAGGCAACAATATTTTTAGTAACTGAAATGATTATGAACTAAATGATTATGATTATGAACTTAAAGTAATTTAATAACTTTCAAATTCAGTTAATTTATGAAAAGATATTCTTTCTTGAATATCTTTTAATAACTAAAGTAAGTTGTGAACGAACTTTCAAGAATCGCCTCCACAACGGCTCTTTTGGGGGTAAAATCTCCTCGAGAGGCTCCTCGCCGGCTCGCAACTCGTCCCATTTCACCCGGCCAATGTTTTCTAAAAGTTCTTGGATTTAGAATGAATATAGCTTTAAGAATTACTCTGGATTTATGTTATTTTATAACATTTTGGGTGTTCAGTCAACTTAAAACATTCTCAGGTATTGGAAATTGCGTTCAACTTTCAAAAAACACACGTTCAAACTGCTCTTTCAAAAGTTGAAAGGGATCTTTTGCTCATAAACGTATCTTTTCTGGTGTATTCAATATCATAATGCCTATCAAAGTGTGCCAGAAAACATGCGTTTCCACAAAGTGCACAAATTTTGAGCAAATTTTGAACACAGCTAATCCATTGTCTCATCGATTGTCCAAAAAGTCTTTTCGTTCCTTCTTTTTTACTTGAAAAATAACGAATTCATTAATTAAACTGGGTTTCTTGAAAGAAAAAGTGTTTCTTGATCAATTTCCAATCTTTTTAAGTCAATTTTGGTTCACTTTCAAGCAAATTCGAGAGTGAAAAAGTGTTTTTTTCGAGAAATTCTAGAGTGCTTTCGAGGAAATTTATAAAAACCTCTACGAAGAAATTGGCTAGATTAATCTCTCGGAAAATTTAACTATATACTAAACGTTTTTTGCTCTATCTTTTATCTATTGACATCAAGATAGATTTCTTTAGCTAAAGTGTGTCTTTTCTAAAGCTAAAGTGTCTGCATCATCGAGCCGACGCCCTTTTTGACTACCCGACTTCAAGCTTCCAAAAAAATCAAGATTTAAGACATTTTAAACTCGTTTTAATGTTATTTTACAGATAAATAATTGGCATTTCTGATAAAACAAACCGTAGTTTAATTGGTTCATTTATTGGTTTTAAACGGAAGTTTTAAACGGAACAAAATGGAACGCAAAGACTTTCTGGGCAGACAGATTTCTGACCAATAAAACCAAAACAAACTTGGATCTTCGTACACTTGAAACGAATTCCAAATCATATAACAATAAGCTCTACAATGGTACAACATGTTTCAGTAAAGTTTTGTGACAAGAAATCCCAGAATTCTCAAGAATTCTGGAGATGATTACCGTGTACGCCCACAAATTCGCGCTCCTTTCCGTGGTCTTGAATAACGGCGATTGGATTGGGTCCTTTAGGAAAACGAGCTGATACATGTGAACGACTGCTATTTGTACGAAAGAGTGCGGCTGGGAGGAATTCGTCGGGCAAAGTGGCGACAAAGCTTAGATCCGAGAATGGGAGTTGCAAGGTGGCTTGACGAGTACGCACGTGTTGAAAGATTCGACCAACTCCTGCCGAGCCCATTGAATATCAGAAATTTGAGCTCAGAAAATGGGAAGATAATAGGAGAATAGTAGAATAGCTAGTGTAACTCGTTTCCATTCTTGTTCAGCATCTTGTCATCTTGTCAGCAATGATTCATGACGGAATCATTTTGAAAATAATCCATTTGATGATTTATTAGTTAGCACAGATCAGTTAGAGTACTTTAATAATAAGGAAGTTTTAATTTAAAAGCAGAATATAATAGTTTACTTGACGAATCAGTAATGATTAAGGGTTGCAAGTTGTCAAAACTTGCTTCAGGCAAGTTCAATAGCAAGCTCAAAGGCAAATTCAAAGGCAAATTCAAAAGCAACTTCAAACTTGCTTCAGGAAAGCTCAAAGGCAACTTCAAAGGCAACTTCAAAGGCAAGTTCAAACGCAGCTTCAAAGGAAACTTTAAAGGAAACTTCAAACTTGCTTCAAGAAAGCTCAAAACAAAGCAAGTTTTTAGCTAAATTTCAGAGTTTAGTTCATTTGAATAATCGCAAAAAGGGTTTTAATTGAGTTTCTGTTTCTCGGATGAAAATCGGGAGAAGATTGATGTGAAATGTGATCCAGTGAAGCGCCATAAGTGGTCTCAATTCCTTCCTCTTTTCTTACTATGACCATAAAGCCTCGTAAAAGATCCCAAGAATAGGTTTCCAAAAATTGAGGCCTTATTTCACTAGAATGTCTATATATGGTAAGTGAACACTTATAAGTAGTCTTGTGTTCTGTTTTCTGCAATATTTTGCTAACTTTTTGCTGTCAGATTGCAGTCAGATTGTAGCCAGATTGCTGTCAGATTTGAAAGCAAACGATTACGTACGAAAAACTGCCTTACTTTATGAGTAATTTGTGCTCAAAAAGAAAACCCAACCTTCCTAGTGCACTAGATCATTCATTTTATCAAATTTATAAGCACTAGATGGGATACTTTAACACTTGAGCACAAAGAACACTGATGGAAACCCGATTCTCCGACTCATTTCACTAGAATGTCTATATGTGTAGCGATTTTAAATAAGTGGGTTTTAAAAAGTTTAAAAAAAAAGAGTTTTTTTTTTTATAAAAAAGAATTATAATATTTATTTTTTTTTTTTTTTAATATAAAAAAATTAAAAGAAGGGGGGGAGGGGATTTTAAAATTTTAATTTTTTTTTTTTTTTTAAATTTTTTTTTTTTTTTTTTTTTTTTTTTTTTTTTTTTTTTTTTTTAATTATTTTTTTTTTTTTTTTTTTTTTTTTTTTTTTTTTTTTTTTTTTTTTTTATTTTTTTTTTTTTTTTTTTTTTTTTTTTTTTTTTTTTTTGGTTTTTGTTTTTTGTTTTTGTGTTTTTGGTTTTTTTTTTTTTTTATTTTTTAAATTTGGGTTTAAATAAATGGGAAAAAGGTTTTGGTAAGGGGAGAAGAAAAATAGTTTTTAAAAAAAAAGGGGGGGTTTTAAAAGGGAGGGAAAAATAGAGAAATTAATAAAATGTTTGAAAATATATATATGGTAAGTGAACACTTATAAATAGTCTTGTTTCCTGTTTTCTGCATATTTCTGCACTATTTTGCTATCGTTTTGCTATCAGATTGTAGCCAGATCGCTGTCAGATTTGAAAGCAAACAATTACGTCCTCTTTGCAGAGAAACTGCTTTACTTTTCTTGCATTTTGTGCTCAAAAAGAAAACACAATCTTCCTAGTGCACTAGATCATTCATTTTATCAAATTTATAAGCACTAGATGGGATGCTTTAACACTTGAGCACAAAGAACACTGATGGAAGCCCGATTCTCCGAGCTCACCCCTTAAAAGAATCCCAAAGCCACCAATGAGATCAATGACCAATGAGACCAATCAAAAATAAACAAAATAACGGGAAAACTAATTTTTAGCTATCTTATACCAAGACTGTACTTATTTTTTGTACATTTTAAGACTATTTAGATCAATCTAGATCAATCTAGATCATTTCTCATTCTTCTAGATCGATCAAGTTTGTTAGAGCTCAATTCTAGAGCTATTCTAGAGCTTTTACTCAAGAAGCTCAATAAAATAAAGATAGCTAACGTTTCTAAATCAAATTTTATCACCTATTAGCTCTCATAATTGTTTTTTTGGGGTTTTGCTTGTGGAAAGAAAGAAAAAAAGCCTCACAAATGTCATCACTGTTTGTGAAGAGAGTTATGGCAGTCTGTCTTTTGATGAGTGAAGGGAAAAGCGAAGAGATTTCCCCCAAAAAACCACAAAGAAAAACCACTTATTGATGGAAAGATGACAACTTGCAAAAAGGAAACGAAATGATAATAAAGCTGGCTTGTTTAGCGTTGTTCTTTGAGCTAATTTTCGAGTTAACAATATGTTTTAGGCTTTTCAGAAAGTCTTTTCATTCCATTTAGTATTTTCGTTCAAAAATAACAAATCCATCAATTAACCTATGATTTTCTCGAAATAAAAAGTGTTTATTGTTCAATTGCCAATCTTTTTAAGTCAATTTTGGTTCACTTTCAAGCAAATTCGAAAGTGAAAAAGTGTGTTTTTCGAGAAATTCTAGAGTGCTTTCGAGAAAATCTATAATAACCTCTACAAAGAAATTGGCTGGATGAATCTCTCTGAAAATTTAGCTATATACTAAACGTTTTGTGCTCTATCTTTTATCTATTAACGCCAAGATAGGTTTCTTTAGCTAAAGTGTGTCTTTTCTTAAGCTAAAGTATCTGCATCATCGAGCCGACGCCCTTTTTGACTACTCGATTTAAAGCTTCCAAAAAAACCAAGATCAAGATCTCTCTGAAAATTTAGCTATATGCTAAACTTTTTGTGCTCTATCTTTTATCTATTAACACCAAGATAGGTTTCTTTAGCTAAAGTATCTAAACCACATCATCGAGCCGTCTTTTCGTTCTTTTTGACTACCCGACTTCACGCTCCCAAAAGAATCCAGACATCAGACATTTTAAACCTGTTTTAATGCTATTTTTTGTATTTTCGTTTGTTTCATTAGAAAGGCCACTTATTTTCTGCAAAATAACGTTAAAATTTGTTTAAAATGTCTTATGTTTGGATTTTTTTGAGAGCTTGAAGTCGGGTAGCAAAAAGGACGATGACTCGATGATGATGATGATGCGGTTTAGACACTTTCGGTAAAGGAAACCTATCTTATTATCAATAGATAAAAGATAGAGCACAAAAAGTTTAGTATATAGCCAAATTTTCAGAGAGATTGATTCAACCAACTTCTTTGTAGAGGTTTTTATAGCTTTTCTCGAAATACACTTGTTTTCACTCTCGAATTTGCTTGAAAGTGAGCCAAAATTGACATGAAAAGATGAGAAATTCAACAATAAACACTTTCTAGAGCACTTTTATTTTATTTAGAGCACTCTTATTTAGAGAAAACCATAGATTACTTGAGAAATTTGTTATTTTTCAAGTAAAAAAAGAAATGAAAAGACTTTTTTAGCCTAATAACTTCAATTTTATTTCTTTTAAATTTATGATTTCAAACTAAGTCCTTAAGTCTAAAATAACAATAGTTGACTTACAAGGGAATGGTCTGAGCTTAAAGTTCGGAATCGACTGGAAAGACAGTGCATAACATAGAATCGTCAATGGCGAACAAAACGCCACAAAAATTAGCCGCTAATAGCCACGAAAACGCGAGAAATCTGGAGAAATTCAAAAATGATTCCTTGATAAGGCTTCCCTCGCTTCCGGCCAGGTATTAGACTTAAGGCTCAGGTCAACTCTAAGCCTAAGCCTGAGCCTAAGCCTGAGCCTAAGCCTGAGCCTAAGCCTGAGCCTAAGCCTGAGCCTAAGCCTGAGCCTAAGCCTGAGCCTAAGCCTGAGCCTAAGCCTAAGCCAATAATGGCTTGCCAAACCTGGCAAAACCTAAGAGGAGCTCGTGGGCTAGTGTATAAAGGCTTAGATCTGTGCAGAGGCGGTCCTATTTTTGCCCTTGGGTTCAATTCCACCCAAATGCAAAATTTTTTGCTTTCCTTCTCTGGGGTCCTGTTTTCCATGATAAATCTTTGACTTTGACCTGGTCTGGCTAAACTTTAGCCTTTTGAGACAATCCTAGCTTTAGATCCTAGAGCTATCATTTGCATAAAAGCTCAAAATCAAAAGCTAATTCATAGCTGATCAAAAGCTGGCCAGAAGCTAATCCATAGCTAATCTATAGCTAATCAAAAGCTAATCAAAAGCTAATCCATAGCTAATCCATAGCTATGCATAGCTGATCCATATCTAATCAAAGCTAATCCATAGCTAATCAAAAGCTAATCCATAGCTAATCCATAGCTATGCATAGCTGATCCATAGCTAATCAGAAGCTAATCCATAGCTAATCAAAAGCTGATCCATAGCTAATCCATAGCTAATCAAAAGCTTTTCCTTTCTTACAATTAGTAAGTTAAAGGAGACATAGCAAAGTTTTGACTATTGTGGCGAGTTTACAAAGCTTTATTTCAATGTCTAACTGATAAAATGACCGAACAGCTTTAAAATCCTCTAATTTTGGTAAAATTCAAACATTCTTACGACTCACTCTTTTGATACTTTACTTCACTTTTACGAGAACTACGAGGAGATGGATTGAGCGGTTCGAATGACAAAACATGCCTCGCCTCACCTTACACACAACAAATACGAGAGGGGGGAAAAGGAAAAGAAAGTTATGCTTTCTAGAGTCATTTGTTAGACACTTGTTTCTTCAAGGATTAAGCCAGAAAACAATTTAGATGAATAGCCAGGATTGTTATTAAGAATCAAAGAAATTGGGGTTTGATTTGGGAAAATTTGGGAAAATTGAGGAACAGCTGGTGGAACGAGTTGATCGATTTGTTCAAACAACAACTATTCAAGCAGGAATTTAGTTTTCAATTGTCAATTGTCAATGTTTAAAGTCAAAAATTGAGCAAGAACTAGGTTTTGGTTTGGTTTGTGGTGATGGAAAAGTGCTTTAGGAAAGATGAAAGCAAGCATAGTTGAATATTTGTAGAGTAAGTCAAGGAAAAAGATTGACAGGCTGTACTCTGTGTGACAGAAATGAAAACACATGCCTTCTAGTGCACTAAATTCAGTGTATAAATCTAGGCAATGCTTCTGCAAAATAAAATCATTGAAAACTCTGGGAGAATTGGGTTTACAAAAGGATTCAAAAGGACTCAAAAGACTCAAAATCTTGGAAATCCAGGCAAAATTCATTTTCATTTTGGGTAATCGGTATTTGACTATTTCCCCCGCCTATTTGTGACTATTTTGTGACAATTTTGTGACTAGATACAAATTTAGTAGACAAGACTGGCCAATTAGCATAGACAAACAAAAATTAGCATTTAATTCTAAAGTTGGCGGGGAAAATAGTCACATTGAGAACTTGCTTATCGATATTATCTATAAAAACGTTATGCTCATTTTTAACCGTTCAATTCTCAGCTTCTAGAATAGCTATCAATCTGCAAATTGTTCCATTCGAAAGCTAAGAATGTCATCTTTAATTGCTATTTAATCTAGAGACTTTTAATGATTAGAAACCTCATAAACCTTATCGATTATCGGTATCGAAATTATCGATTATGGATTGGCTGACCGATAAGGATTGTAAAGCTTTTTAGGGCATTTGCTTATAAGAATTTGCTATGTATAAGATACCAATCAAAAGCTAACAATCTTGGCTTTCCAATGAGACAATTTGCAGATTGATAGCTATTCTAGAAGCTGAGATCTGAATGGCCAAACATGAGCCTCCGTTTGGTCAAACATCACCCTCCATCAATAATTGATACTTAATATCAGTATCAGTCTAGATAATATCGATAAACCAGCCTAGTCAAATATATCGATAATCAATACTTTTGATATCGATAAGTATCAATAATCATTCAAAATTGAACAAACTTCAGACAAGACTTTGAAAAGATGGGAAATAATGATAGGGAAGGGATAGGGAAGAGCTTTCTCCATTCCACTTACCCAATGGGTTCTCGTATCCAAACTCTAGCGGAATATCATTTAAAATCAATTATAACTTTAAAATGTTTACATAAAACTCACCAAAGTATAAACTCTCCGGTCGACTGGCCGTGTTATGACGGGAAATGGTAGCTGACGGGGGTTTACTGGCTGGTCGACTAGGCGGTCGAGAAGGATTCCTCCAATATGATGGTGGAATATAAACTGATGGCAAAATTGCCTGCAGTGTTGCTGGATCAGCAATAATAGAGGGATTATTCATCGACGAGATTGAGGTCCTCGCTCGATTGTTCGAAATTGAAACAGCCGACTCGCGTCTTGTCCTCACACGACTCTCTCCAGTGGGAAGACTCGAGTGAGGAGTGAGAGTGAGTCGCCGGTACGAGTAGGCAGCTCCCGTTGAGCCCATGTTTCGAAAAAACTTGCGGAGAAAGGGACAAGAATTTCTGGGAATAGGGAGATGAGTGGAATTAGATTGTTGTTATAGAACTTGTACTGTTTTGGGTTATGCTATGAAGTGACTTTATTTAATGAATAGTTCAGAGTGAATATAGAAGATGTTGGTAATCTTATGGAAGTTGTACTGTTTGTACTGTTCAAATAAGTACTGTTCAAATAAGTACTGTTCAAATAAGTACTGTTTAAATCCGTACTGTTTGAACCAGTACTGTTTGAACCAGTACTGTTTGAACCAGTACTGTTTAAACCAGTACTGTTTAAAGCAGTACTGTTTGAACCAGTACTGTTTAAAGCAGTACTGTTTGAACCAGTACTGTTTAAACCAGTACTGTTTAAACCAGTACTGTTTGAACCAGTACTGTTCAAATAAGTACTGTTCCAATAAATAGTTCAAAAGTGATTCAAGCAATTTAGCAATACATTGACTTGTAGAAATCCCAGTGTTTCAAATGTTAGAGCTAGCTTTCTCTTAGCTTTCTCAAATGTTAGAGCTAGCTTTTAGAATTTGCTCAAAAGCATTTAGCTCAAAAGCAAAATTGTCACAATTTCAAGCAAAATTTCGAGTTTCAACTGATTCAACAAGTTCTATTATTGCTTTGAAGTCTTGGAGAAGAACCAATGATCCAATGATCTGATCCGATACAATTATTATCAATATAGCCTTCCAAATCCCGAATTCTCAAAATTCAGTTATGGCAAATATGGAGAGTAAATCACCACAAGCAAATCAGCAAAAATATGGATAGCAAACCCGAGTACCTACGGAAAATAAAGCTCTCCAACTGACATGATTTTTGAAGGGACTGAATGCTGGTGTCTGGGGTGGATCTCGTCTTTTCCATTCTCAACTCTCACCACATGTTACACCCCTTTTCCCCTTTTTCCTCACCCATTCAAAAGATCGACCGACTTTTTCATATTGAGAGCTTCCACTAAAATCTCCCTCCATCCATCGTTGGTGACGCCTTGAGGAACGGGCTTTCCCCCTCTCATCGTTCAATGAGAGGTGATTGAATAAGATTTCCGGCAATGACATGAATGACATCCTTTTTCACACTCTTGAGAGAATGAGTTTGGGAGAATAAGCTTTGGATTGGTTCGTCTTGGACTTAAGGCTCAACTCTAAGCCTAAGCCTAAGTCTAAGCCTAAGCCTGGGCCTAAGCCTAAGCCTAAATCCAGAAAATGGGGGTTTAGACTAAACCCAAATAGACTTAGTGCGAGGCGCTAGCCGCTAGCCTTCGCACTAAGTCCAACTCTAAGCCTAAGCCTAAGCCCAAGTCTAAGCCTAAACCTAAGCCCAAGCCTAAGACTAAGCCTTAGCCTAAGCCTAAGCCTAATCCTAAGCCTAAGCCTAAGCTTAAGCCTAAGCCTAAGCCTAAGCCTAAGCCAAAACCGATTCCTTTTTGACCGACTTTTGTCAAAGATTGAGCTTTTCTTGGTCCTGAACAAATTTAGCACAAAGAACAGCACAGCAAGCTTATTTGAAGATTCCTGAGCAGAAAGGACAACCAAAAAACAATCCTTGGTTCAGAAATGACTTTTAAGATTGTTCCAAAGACCAAATTGACTCTGATTCTAATGGCTTTGGCTTAGAGGATCGATTGGAAATGACTCTGGAAGGCTTTTCTTAGCCTTTCTTAGCCTTTCTTAGCCTTTCTAGCCTTTCTTAATCTTCCTTAGCCTTTCTTAGCCTTTCTAGCCTTCCTTAACCTTCCTTAGCCTTTTTTAACCTTTCTTAATCATTTTCTAAACAAAAAGTCCTTTATTTCGATTTGTTTCCTAGCTGTTGATCACTTCAAAGATCAATGCAATCAAATCTCGGAAATGGGATTGGATTTGGTGAGAATTTGTGGTCTTGAGTCACGTCGATTACCTCACCTTTTCATGTGTGAAAGGGGAAAGTAGTGGGTCAGCTGTTCTCTTTAAAAGAGAGGCAAAAGGGGTAAAAGATCTCGCTTGATATACAATGGCAACACAATGAGAGCCCCCGTTCACTACTATTGGTTTAGCTGAAAACAAAAGGCTCACAAAAAATATTTGAGAAAGTAAAAGCATACAAATTTTTGATGTGTATGGATCGATTTTGAGGAGAGAATCGATTCAAATTGATCGATCTGAGGCTGGACTGTTTCTAGGAAAAGCCAAGACTATTTCCTTAGCCTGAAACAGTCAACAAAACTGTTCTAGACCAAAATCAAGTCAAACTAAAGGCAAAGAATTGGCTTTGTTTAGTCTAGAACAGTTTTGTTGACTGTTCCAGGCTAAGGAAACGGTCCTGGCTTTTCCTAGAAACAGTCCAGCCTCAGATCAATCTACTATATATAAAAGAGCAGTGTCTGTCCGTTCGTCTGTCTATATGCGCTAGGTCTCAGCTCCATATGAGCTGATTTACATGATTTTTAGTTTATTAGGCTTAGCAATCTATGTATTTGTGCATCTCATATTTCGTTTTTTAAAAAACAAAAGTCATGACACAGCCGGGAGTCGAACCCGGGCCGTGTGGGCCGTAGACAAGCGCGCTCCCGACTTTGACACGGTGACAAAAACTATGCCAGCCGTCTCGCCAGCCGAAAAACCAGCTTTTAGGGTTTTTTCGGCAAGAAGATAAGCTTTCAAAGCAACAGTGACTGAAAGTGATTGGTTTTTGATGTGAAAGTGGACAAATGCTGTTTGCTCCGGTATGGCTTTTATCAAGGCTTATCCCGCATTTTGCCGTACCTTTAATAAACAAATTGGAGTCATAACAAGCAGAGGCATCTTTTGACTTTCGACTCAAATACGCATGATAATTTGTGGGAAAGATTCAACTGTTATCAATTGATCGAAACTACTAACTATTTTACAAATTTATACAAATTTTACAAATAGGTACATGCATAAGAAATGCGGATTTCGACATTTCCATAAATTTAAATATACTCCATAAATAGAAACCTGATATCGACGAATGTTATAAACTATTTGAAAGATGTAAATCTCCTCTACAAAATAGGCTAAAACGTGTTTCAAATGATCGAACCATTGAAGAAATTTCGAGCGCGAAATGCGAGTGACCAAAAAAGGAATCGAGTCACTTTAGGGACAAGTTTAGTGTGGTCAAAATAGAGCTCTACAAATGCATTTCCATTAGACTTTTAAAATGAATTGATATATAGTTTTCCTTTTTTTTAAATCTTCAATTTTGGGAAGCTAACTCTATTTTGACCACACCGAACTTGTCCCTAAAGTGACTCGATTCCTTTTTTGGTCACTCGCATTTCGCCCTCGAAATTTCTTCAATGCTTCGATGAATTGAAACACGTTTTAGCCTATTTTGTAGAGGAGATTTACAACTTTCAAATAGTTTATAACATTCATCGATTTCAGGATATCGATGAATGTTTCTATCTGTGGAAAGTTATGAAAATGTTGAAATCCGCATTTCTTATGCATGTACCTAATAAAATCTATTTTCTTTTAAAACTTCAGTACTGTTGAATGTTTTCATTTAGTTTTTTATGTGGCACTTTCACATTGAAAAGCTCATTGAATAGAATGAAGTTGATCTACCAAGAAATATAGTTGAAATCTATTTTTGTTTTCTGGTTAAAGCTAAGGTTGTTTTCTGGTTAAAGCCTTCAATCTCTAATTCACTTTCCACCATTTCCAAAAGCTAAAACGTACCTGCAACTTTCGAATCTTCTCGTTGAATAATTGTCGGTTTTCTGAAAGGAACTGATGGACCAAAAGCGACAAATGGGAGAAGAGCCGCAGCGGCAGCCGAATCGGATCTCTGTTGCAGTGAGCCAAGCCGATGCAAATCCCCAAATGTAGCCGCATTCTGTTTCGCCCATTCAGCGAACATGCTACTTGCCAACATTATTTAGATTTAGAAATGATCAATAAAGAGAAAAGGAAGAAGAGCTGTGTCAAGAAATGATGCATTCATGATGAGCGACTTTTTTTGAGTCCTGTGAATAAATTATGAGAGAACTTTTTGAGTTCAAAGTGCCTTTTTACTTTTGTTATATAATTGAAAGAATTTCTGATCTACGAAAGTGACTTAAATTTGAATTTTTGACTTGAATTTATGATGTACTATGATGTACTTTGTGCTCGGAAATGGAAACGTACTCTTTATAGCGTACTCTTTCTTTTGCAATCAACGCTTCTAGCAGCTAGGATCTACCAGAGATCAGATAGCGCCAAAGAAATTATACGTTTTGATCAAAATATTGAGCAAAAAGTACACTTGAACGTGAGAGAACTTGGTCTTATATTCAGAAATGAAGGCGTACTCTAGCGTACTCTTTCTAGCGTACTCTCTCTAGCGTACTCTTGTCTAGTGTACTCTTGTCTAGCGTACCTTTTAAGCGTACTCTTTCTAGCGTACTCTTTCAAGCGTACTCTTTCTAGCATACTCTTGTCTAGCGTACTCTTCCTAGCGTACTCTTTCTAGCGTACTCTTTCTAGCGTACTCTTTCTATTGCAATCAACGCTTCTAGCAGCTAGGATCTAATCGAGATCAGATAGCGCCAAAGAAATGATACGTTTTGATCAAAATATTGAGCAAAAAGTACATTTGAACGTGAGAGAACTTGTTCTTATACTCAAAAATGAAAGCGTACTCTTCCTAGCGCACTTAACGCTTCTTGTAGCAACTAGAATCTAATCGAGGTCAGATAGCGCCTAAGAAATGATACGTTTAGATCAAATTTGAGCACAAAGTACATCTGAAAGAACAAATCTATTGGAACATAGGATTAATTTAAAATCTAATTCACAAAATATTAAACAAAGTTCAAAGCTTTTAAAAAAAGTCAGTTTAAAAATCCGCTTCAAAACCGCTTCAAAAAGCCGCTTTCAAGATTATGTCTCTTGGAGTATTCTGAGAAAAAAAAACACGAGATTTCCGAATTGTTAACTGCCTCTTAAGGAGTGTCTTTTTCTTCTCAAAGCTTTTTTTTTTGGAAAGCTTTCGAAGATTTCTAGAAGATGTGAAGGAGAGGATGCTCTCGGGAGAGACACACTTTTTCATCCATGTCAACTCTGTCACCCCAACAGAAAGAACTGAAAAGAAAGAAAAGAATCACAAAAATGCTCACAAAGATGCTTGAAGTTGAACAACTACTCATCAAGGGGCGGTTGAGGTCAGCTTTGGGAAAGAAATTTTAGCTTTGGGAGTCTAGCTTTGATTATCTAGCTTTGATTATCTAGTTTTGGGAATCTAGCTTTGATAATCTAGCTTTGGAAATCTAGCTTTGATAATCTAGCTTTGGGAGTCTAGCTTTGATAATCTAGCTTTGATAATCTAGCTTTGAGAATCCAGCTTTGACTATCTAGCTTTGGGAATCTAGCTTTGAGAATCTTGCTTTGATAATCTAGCTTTGATAATCTAGCTTTGGAAATCTAGCTTTGATAATCTAGTTTTGATAATCTAGTTTTGATAATCTAGCTTTGGGAGTCTAGCTTTGATAATCTAGTTTTGATAATCTAGCTTTGGGATCTAGCCTTGATAATCTAGCTTTGGAAATCTAGCTTTGATAATCTAGCTTTGATAATCTAGCTTTGGAAATCTAGCTTTGATAATCTAGCTTTGATAATCTAGCTTTGGGATCTAGCCTTGATAATCTAGCTTTGATAATCTAGCTTTGATAATCTAGTTTTGATAATCTAGTTTTGATAATCTAGCTTTGGGAGTCTAGCTTTGATAATCTAGTTTTGATAATCTAGCTTTGGGATCTAGCTTTGGGAATCTAGCTTTGATTATCTAGCTTTGATTATCTAGCTTTGATAATCTAGTTTTGATAATCTAGTTTTGACAAGGATTAGAGCTTGTTTCTGTTAACGAAACGATTCTGGCAAGAATTAGAGTGTATGAATCGATTTAGATTTACTTAAAAGTCACCTGGATCCACTTAAAAGCTTCTAGAATCTTTTCTCCAGCTTTTCCACTCAGAAAACTACTTTCAAGCCATTAGTTTACATTCAATAATGATCTCAAAAGAATAATTTCTCAACAAATTCAAAGCTTCAAGTAGTAGAATCACTTATGAGATGAATAAAGGTACATCAATGGATTCAGTATTCAGAAAAGGTATCCAGAAAAGGTGCATCGATGAAGGTTTTCCTCTCTTCTTCATCTCACTTTTCGCGATAATGTGATTTAATCGAGAATCGAGTTGAGCGACGTAAAAAGAGAGCCTTTCTTTCGTCAAAGCGAGTGCCCTTTTGGTCAAAATGGGGACAACGATGATGTTCTTTTTTCAAGAATTGATCAACAATGGGATTGAGAACAGCCTTTTCCCTTGGCAACACTCTTGAGAAGAGCCTTGTGGAAGAAGTTTTCGAACGAGCAAGACTTGTGGAAATTATAGATAGTGCAAATAGGCAAATTGTACGAAGGCAAATTGTACGATGGCAAATTGTACGATGGCAGATTGTACAATGGCAAATTGTACGATGGCAGATTGTACGATGGCAGATTGTACGATGGCAAATTGTACGATGGCAGATTGTACGATGGCAGATTGTACGATGGCAAATTGTACGAAGTTTTCTTTGAGGCTCAACAGTTTCGTTCATGACATGAACAAGATTTGGGTTCAGCCTGAATTCTTGCAGATTCTTGCAGATTCTTGGAGACTCTTGCAGATTCTTGCAGATTCTTGCAGACTCTTGCAGATTCTTGCAGATTCAAATGCTTGCAATTTACGTAGAATGCAGATCCTTAGAGTTGAAATTGTAAAAAGACTGGTTTAAACTTGAGATATTTAGACCTAATAGAAGTTGAAAAGAAGTATGCTGTTCGATCAACAAAAAAATAAAGAATAGATGAAGTTATTGCTTTGGCAAGAACTGTAGAAGGCATTAGATCAACAAAAGGTTTGTTATTTGTAGTTTATAGTTTATCGTTTATAGTTTATAGTTTAAAATTTATATTCTAGTTTTTTTTTGCTTATTTATTTATTATTCTGACTTATTTACTTACTATTCTGACTTATTACATCTTCCTTATTATAGGCAAAGTTTGTCACTTCATAACTCCAATCCCAGTGGGAATTTTAATCTGATTTTTTAAGACAATATGCAATCGAGTACTGCGGTTTCGCATGTAAAATCAGAATTGAAATATCTTTAACCACTTTTAAGTAAACTTGAAAAAACTGATCAAGGGAGCTCAAAAAATGATCGAGATCAAAGGATGCTTAGAGGTACTTCGAAAATGAATTTTAGGCTTATTTTCTCAGAAAATATTGAGGAGAAATATGCTTAAATTTTAGCACTAAAAACACTTTGAATGTTTTTGGAATTTGATGAACTTTTGAAGAAAATGACAAAGGCGGAAAAGTTCAAAGGGTCGGAAGCATGAGATTTCGAGTAAACGGGAAAATTTCCCTCTCAAACTCAGTTTAGTTATTGAAATTCAAATCCATTAGTAAAGTAATGAACTGGAGTAAATTTGTGAGCAATTAAGACTCAATTTTGACTTCTGTAAACTATAAGTTGGCTTAAATTAGCCAGCAGTTAACCCCCGGCATTTAGCCTCAATGAATTTTGGGTTTCTCAACGAATTTTCTCAAAATTTCTTGGAAAAATATACTTAATTTAAGCCGGGCTTTTCATAATATCATATTGGTTTTACAAATAACTTTTTTTTTCATTTCAAATACTTCTTATCCCGAACAGACTCTATTTGGTGCACGGAATTCATCATCATCAGTTGAAAGAAGACTCGAGTGCCCGAGATCTCAACAAATTCCACCAGAATGACTTCAGTGGAAGTGAAAATAGCTGAGCTATGCGATAAAGTAAAGAAATGAATGGCAAAGAATTTGGGGAATTGAACCATTGGCCTTCTGCTTACCTTTTGCTCTATCACTAAGCTTTTGGCGCCTTCTTTCCCTGAGAAGAAATAGGAAAGACAAGGAAGAGAAAGAAAAGAAAAAGAAGAAAGCAAGAAAGGAAGAAAGCTAAGGAAATAGTTTAGCTCGTAAAATTGTACTCTGAATCAAGTCAAAAAAAGCCAGGCTTTTCCTTAAATAGCTTACATTTACTTTTGGCATACTAGATACAAGAAATTAGGACTTTATGAACTCACTGTTGGATCAAAAACTATTCCTGGAACTCCAAAAGTTTCAGAATGGACTTAACTACGACGCACCATTTTTCTCACCTGATGATCTCCCTGTCAATTTCTTCAACTCAACAACTTTACCTCCACCACCGGTACCAACTCTTTCACTTATGAAAAAAATCCTTTTAGAGCTACTCAGCCACCACTTATCTCAACAAATTCCACCAGAATGACTTCAGTGGAAGTGAAAATAGCTGAGCTATGTGATAAAGTAAAGAAATGGATGGCAAAGAATTTGGGGAATTGAACCATTGGCCTTCTGCTTACCAGGCTCTATGGCTCTACCAGGCAGATGCTCTACCACTAAGCTTTTGGCGCCTTTTTTGCCCAAGAAGAAACAGGAAAGATAAGGAAGAGAAAGAAAGGAAGAAAGAAAGAAAGGAAGAAAGGAAGAAAGGAAGAAAGGAAGAAAGCGAAGCAAATAGTTTAGCTCGTAAAGATGGGCCCATTGCGGCAAGTGATGTGGAACACGAGTGACTTGAGAAGTCTGCGATTGATCACTTTTGCAACAGTCAGTGCTCTTCAGGATAAGGTGGGTTTTATGTTGAAAAGTCTAGGTTTACGAATCAAAGATGTTTATTTAAGCTTCCCAAATTTAGATTGATGTACTTGAGTTCGAAAATGAGGAGCTCCCAAAACGCCTTCTTTCCCTTCTTTTGGCGCCTTCTTTCCCTGAGAAGAAATAGGAAAGACAAGGAAGAGAAAGAAAGGAAGAAATACAAGGAAGAGAAAGAGAGGGAAAT